AGGTCCTGGTTGGAGCCAGGGGCGTGGCCGAGCTCTTTGAATGAATGATGGAGGTGTAAAAAAGATGAGAGGTGTGAGACCACCCCCAGAGATTCTGATTTTGCTGGAGTGGCACCGAGGCAATGGTAAAATAAAAACCTTCCCCGAGTGATTCTAATATGCCGTCAGGGTCGAAAACCACTGATTGTCGGGAAAGGGAAGAGCAGAGGTGGAGGTAGAACCTTGGGCCTGCCCACAGATGGGAGCAGAAGGAACCAGAAAGGCTGGCGGAAAGGTGGGAGGAGAACCCGGCTAGGAGCGAGGCCATCTCGGGAAAGACAACCGCATCTGAGTCAGAGGATGAGGCTGCAGAGGCAGGCGCTTCATTAGGACTGGCCTGTCCCCTTGACCCTTGACTCTGGGCTGTGGACATTGGCAGAGGCGGGGTGGAATGACCGGGGGTCAGGAGGCGAGGAACAGCAGGAGGGCAGACCGTTTTCTGGGGTTTTGGGCAGGGAAGTGAATGGGGGAGAAAGGCAGACGGGGAAGACCTAGATGCAGGTTGGAGGCTCAAAGGATAGAAGAAAAGGATGGAACCGAACACAGCTGGAGGACTCAGCCTACTCGGCTGTTGGTGACGTCACAGAATGGCCATTCCTGATTGGGTGGCCAGATGGAGGCGGGACTTAAGGACGCTGCACGATAGTATTTCTTAAGCGCTTGGCTACGAATTGCCGTTCGGGCCTTCGCTCCCGGACGGAGCCTCCACCCCGACCCGATCCCCATCTCGGCGCAGGTGGAGTTCTACTTCCTGTCCCAGTACGTGTCGCCGGCCGACTCCCCGTTCCGTCACATCTTCCTGGGCCGCGGAGACCACACGCTGGGCGCCCTGCTCGACCACGTGCGGCTGCTGCGCTCCGGCTCCGGGGCCCCTGGGGCCGCCTCCTCCGGGGTGGCGCCCGGCCTGGGCTTCCAGGAGAGCCGCTTCCGACGTCAGCTGGCCCTGCTCACCTGGACGCTGCAGGGGGCAGCCAACGCGCTTAGTGGGGACGTCTGGAACATCGATAACAATTTCTGAGGCCCTCCGGGGCCCCCACCTGCCCCGGGGCCCCCGCCTGCCCCTGCCCCCTGCCGAGAGCTCCTGCTCTCCCCGCCTGGGCGATTTCTGGGTGACCGAGGTGCCCCTGCACCACCTCTCATTGCTGACGGGTTTCTCATGAGCCCTTCCTGTCTCTTAGGGGGCCTGACTCCAGCGCAGACACCCACATACCCCTGGCCCTGAACTGTAGGAGTAGGTGAGCGGTGCCTTCCTCAATGGGACATTCATCCTATCAGCTAATCAAAGAGCAGCATCCTCTCCGTCTGTCACAGTCCCTTCGCCTTCAGGAGCAGGGTCCCCCACACCTAGAGACCACTCTGGAATGTTTCCTGGGCCCTGGGACCTGGCCAGCCCTCCTGGTGGGGAAGGTGGCTGGGACTAGAGCCTTATGGCCAACACGTGGTCTGTGGTGGGACGAGCTGGGGTTTGGACTTCAATAAACCACCTAGTGACATTCTTGTTCATAAGCACATTTATGCTCCTTCCTCCCCCTCCCCCCACCCAATCATTCTTCCCTTGAGACCTAGGGAAGTGTTGGGCAGAAGGGGCCAGAGAGGTTGCGAGCAGGAATGCTGACTCCATGGGAAGAACTGAGCTGTTCTCGTACCTGAGGAACTAAGGAAACCGCTTAAGGAAATAAGGAGGCCCTTCTCCAATGACCACCATGGGGTGGGGGGCTGGCTCTGCACCTTCTCCTGGAACCAGGGAGGGCTACATAATTTGCAAGGCCTGGTGCGAAATGAAAATGCAGGGCCTCTGGTTGACGAAGCAAGCACAAAGCTTTTTCCTTTCTCCCTCAGTCTCTTAACCTGTCATGGTGTTTTTTTATTTGCTATTTAATGTCCAGATTCCTCAGACAGGGAAATAGTCTGGGGCACATCCTCACAGGCACCCAGGGTTCTGCCCCACAACTTGGTACGGATAGTGCACGTGGCTGACCCTGACCCTGACCCAGACCTTCCCTGTGCCTGCGCCTGAGCCCAGCTCCCTGCTGGGGAAGGAGGGTGGCAGCTGTCTCCCATCCAGGGGAGGCAGGACCTCCAGCACATGCTCCATGGCCCCCATCGAGCTGCACTTCCAAAACATAAATTCGTTAGGAATTTCAAGACGGCAGCTACATAGCATTAACCCCTCTTCTGAGTGGTCACACACCTGTTATGTTGGCCCAGCCTGGGACCCCTCCCGCCAGGGTCCCCTTTGGCCACTCTTTGTCCAGTCAGGTGGGAGCTGCTGGAGGGCAGCTGCATAAATCCTAGGGCTCATCTCTCAGGCTCCTTGGGCCTCTTGGTCCCAGTATGGTAGGAGAAGTCCTAGTCTGCCCCTCAGGACACCAGGAAGTGAAGGCCTCTTCATCTATGGCTTGAGATGCCCCAGCCCCTGGGTTCCAGGATGGAACCAGCCCCTCCGTAGCCCCCCGAGCTGACTTGGTGGGTTCTCAGGAGACCCAACCAGGGTCAGAACCCTCCTGGACTATGTGTTTCTGTGACATACAGTCCAGAACAAATTTCCCGAAGTGGCTTCTCAACTCTTCTTCACCTTGTCCCTTTGCTTCGTGTAGCAGACAGAATAACGGTCTGGACAAAGATGTCCACTTCCTAATCTCCAAAATTTGTGATTGTTACCTTGCACAACAAAAAGGGTTCTGCAGATGTGATTAAATGGAGGGTCTTGAGATGGGGCGTGTCACGGGCTGAGCTGTGTCCCCCCCAGATTCATGTGTTGAAGCCCCCAGTCCCTCAGGATGTGTCTGTATTTGGAGATGGGGTCTTTAAAGAGGTGGTTCAGTTAAAATGAGGCCGTTAGGGTGCGTCCGATCTGACCAGTGTCCTTATAAGAGGAAACTGGACCCACAGAGAGACCCCAGGGATGTGCGTGTGCAGAGGAAAGACTGTGTGAGGACACAGCGAGAAGGGGGCCAGCTACAAGCAGAGGAGAGAGGCTTCAGGAGAAACCAACCCTGCTGCCACCTTGATCTCGGACTTCTAGCCTCCAGAATTGTGAGAAAATACATTTTTCTTGTTTAAGCCACTCAGTCAGTGGCAGCCCTAGTGGGCTAGCACAGGAAGATTATCCTGGATTGGGGGAAGGAGGACAATGTAATCATTAAGCCCCTTATAAAAGGAGGCAGGAGGATCAGACAGACAATGGAGATGTGATAACAAGGAGAGGGTCAGAGTCAGAGACAGATGTGAAGATGTTACACTCCTGTTTTCTTTTTTTTTAGTGATTTAAAGCAATGATCATTTATTAATGCCACCCCTGGCTTTAAAGATGGCAGAAGGGGCCCTGAGCCAAGGAATGCACATGGCTCTTAGAGCCTGGAAAAGACAAGAAAACAGATTCTCCCCTGGTCCCTCTGGAGGGGACACAGGCCTGCTGACACCTTGATTTTAGCCCCAGAAGACTCATTATGGATCTCTGACCCCCAGAACTGTAAGAGAACTAAAATTGCCTTGTTTTAAGCCGCTACGTTTGTGATAAATTGTTACAGCAGCCACAGGAAACTAATACACACCCACTCTAATTGCTACAAGCTCAGTATTGTTTTCTAAAGAATTTACTTAAAAAAAAAAGACTGTGTCCCAAGCTCCTCCCACCCCTATACTGTCCCTTCAAAGCTGTCTCAGAAAGCTTTCCAGATCCTACTGGCAGCAAGGCCTGTTCACAGCACATACCAGCAGCATCATAATGACTGGTACTACAAATGCCTTTTTGGGGTCCTGGGCACAGCCAGCCCAGTGTGAATGGTTATCACTCATACACATGTAATTTGGCAAGGGGCTCGCTGGGCCACGATGAGAGCCCTGCTCACACTCCTAGACAAAGGCTCCAGAGCGTGTCTTTGCACACTATGGGGGCCACACCCCATGGAGGCCAGCTCTGGGTGTGGGAGGGACAAGAGTCCCTGGGGAAGTGGGGCAGGTCCCAAGGCCCCCAAAGTAAAGGTGGAACAACTGATAACCTTCTAGCAGCCTAACAGACCGAGTCTGTCTTTACAACATTATCTGGCTGATTTATGCCCCCAGTCAACAACCTGCCCGTGTCACTGGCTGCCCTCACCCCCCATCTGAAGGAAGGCTGGGAGCCTGCCTTTCAAGATCCTGTTCTTTCCCTGTGCCTTAGTTTCTCCTGCCTGGTTGAGTTGAGGTTATGTCAGGCAATGCCATTTCCTTCATCTTGGCAGGGACCTTAGTGTTTCTGACCCACAAGAGTGGAAGTCTTACAGGAAGAGACAGGGGCCGGCCTGGTGGTGCAGCAGTTAAGTGCACACATTCCGATTCGGTGGCCCGGGGTTCGCTGGTTTGGATCCCGGGTGCGGACATGGCACCGCTTGGCAAGCCAGGCTGTGGTAGGTGTCCCACATATAAAGTAGAGGAAGATGGGCACGGATGTTAGCTCAGGGCCAGTCTTCCTCAGCAAGAACAGGAGGATTGGCGGCACATGTTAGCTCAGGGCTAATCTTCCTCAAAAAAAAAAAAAGGAAGAGACAAATAAACCAGAGAAGTGGTCAAAAAGGCAAAAAAGGATTCTGGGGATTGGAGGCAACCAGGCAGCTCTGGCAAGGGGCTCTGATGGCTCAAGATGGTGAGACAGTTCTACAGCGGGTGGGATGAGGTGGTATTTTTGTCTGTTGCTTTTTAGCTGAGGCACTGGATCCTATTTCAGGGCTAAAGGGGATCTTAAGAATCAACTTGCCCAATTCTCTCATTTTAGAGGTAGAAACAGAAGCTCAGAGAAATTAAATGACTTGCTCAAGGTCACACAGCTTTTTTGGTGCAGCAGCAGGACCAGAAGCCAAGTCTTCTAAGTCCTCACTGGGCCTCTTCACTGGCCCAGGTGCCTGGGCCCCCTGGGAGTGGGAGCAGGAGGAACCGGAGGAAAAGAAGTGGGAAGAAAGGGGCACGTTCCTTACATTTCTCAGTTTAACTTTAAAAATTAATTTTATTCAACTTGGAAAATGAATACAAATCCCTGGGTATTTCTGGTAGGGGGGTGGGGTGGGGGGAGTGGCCAGGAAGGAGGAAGAAGGGAGCAGGAATTGAGCAAGGGATGAGGGCACGGTGTTGCAAGTCCGGTCCCTGACCAGGGAAGGGGGTGGACGTTGAGCAGCGAGCTCAGGTGCGGAGGAACACCATGGTGAGGAGGCCTGGAGAGGCAGAAAGAAAAGGTTGTGGGTGTAGCCGTGGGGCTCTGTTAGCCTTCCTCCCAGCCTCCACCCCTCCCCCCCCAGCCACTACTGTGCTCACCCAAGACATAGGCTGCCACCAACTTTTGTCCCAGGGAGACATGCAGGATTTGGGGCAGCTGGCTGCCGAGTTCGTCCTGGAGCGGGAGCAGCAGGAAGGCCACAGAGACGATGCCCGTCAGCACAAACAGGAGGAAGGAGCTGGTGGCCAGTTGTGGGCGGGGGTCTGGGAAACAAGGCTTGTCAGAAGCTCCAGCCCCCCCTGCCCGGCCCAAGGTCCTCCAGGGAGGAGGCTGAAGATGGAAGGTGTATCCATTTTTTTACTGCCCTCCACGGGTACACTGCCAAGTGTCCTCTTCTCTCTGGGGCCTCTGTCCCAGCGGCCACAAGAATCCCTCTCTCCTCTGGTCTCTCAGCATTGTTTTTCTGTCTTTACCGGGCTTTGATTACTGGCTCCTGTGTACCTGTCTGTCAGGCAGGGACCTCTAGCCCCCATACCCAGCACACAACTTGGTACAGCATAATTGCGCAATACAGCCTTCTTATTGAACTGAACTAAGCTGGCATGTGATAGGAAGTACTGATGTTAGAGCTAAGGAAGAACTTTTCCCTCTCAGTAGAAGCCAGAAACGAGGGAAACTGTAGTCTGCTTTTTCTCTAACCTGATATAAAATCTCAACTCCTGGGAATGTTTCCACCAAAAAGCAAAAGACTGAACCAGAAGTTCTCTTCGACTCCAGCTGAGCTCACCTCTGGGGGAATGCTGGGTCCTCCCTCCCTGCAGAAGTCAAGAATTCCCATTCCCCAACTCACTCTCCGGAAAGTGTCTGGCCGTGGGTGGTGCTGTCCAGGAAGGAGGCCCTGTGTGGGGTGTTGGGTCGGGCTGTGCCTGAAGCTCAAGGGGGTAGGCTGGGGCTCTCAGGACCGAGGTGATGTCCTTGCGCCCCACCACTCGGCCCTCAGCTCCCTCCTCAGACAGCTCAATGCGGAAGCGGTCCTGGACGTCATAGTGGCTGGGAATGGGGGCCACATGGCGAATCACACTGGTCCCAAGACAGGAGAGAGGCCCATTGAGAGGAAGGGAGTGAGAGGCAGTGATCCAAGTGGATCCAGGCCCCACCTTCCCAGGAGCCTTTCCCTTAGGGACACAGACAGAGGGTGGGGAAAACAGGTTGAAGAGGATTAGGTCTCACACCTAAGACCACGGCAGGATAATTCAGAGAAGGGTGGCAGCGACCCCTGGCTTCCCTCTGCCTCCCCACTCTCCCAACTCACATGTCAATGCAGGACTGAGGCTTCACATATCCTTCTGCGTCAAACACTGTGTATTTGGCAGGTGCTGTGCACAGGACTGAGGGATAAAGGCAGACAGAGAGCGACCGTTGCTTCAGAGATCCTACAAGCCTTGCCCCTAGAGGGACACTAGAGTCCCCCTTGCCTTCTACCCCAGGGCTAGACATGACTCTTTAGTCTGCCAAGGCTGGACGTCTGCCTGCGCTTGTCTCACTCTTCCAGCCCTCACAGCTCCTCAATGTCCTGCCGCCAGCACCCCCCATCCCTAGCAATGAGGCGCCCATCCCTTCACCTCGGAAGCGAAGCGCAGCTCCCGTGGGGTTATAGAGGGTCAGCAGCTGCCGGGGTCCGCTCCGCTGGTCCGCCCTGAATACTAGATCCGGGGGAAAGACGAGGACCGGGACAACAGGTCCCGAGGGAGAAGGGGCGCCCCGGGACCCCCGCCCAGGAGCCCCCGGACCCACCAGCTCCTGGTCCTGGAGCGCCCCACGGCGCATGCAGGCTCTGGACGGTGGGACATCCGAGGGCAGAGCTCAGGGGACAGGGCCTGGAGTCTACAGCTGGCAGGAGAGGGGCGAAAGGGAACGAGATGAGATCGCGGGGCAGGGCCTGGACCGATGCCGCCGCCGCCTCGGAAACCCGCTAGATCAGGCTCCCGCAGACCAGGCCCAGGCCCCCCAACTCCTCCCTTCCCCAGCTCTGCCCCAGGTCCCTTTAGGTCCCGCCCCCAAGCCCCACCTCGATGGTCACGCCCACCCCGCAAACCCTGCCCCTCGCGGCTCCCAACCCGGGACCCGTCTCCAGGCCGGGCTCCCGATCTCCAGAGCCCGGCCCCACAGGCCCCGCCCCTTCCGGGCGCCCCGGGACTCCCGCCTCCTCTCTCCGGCCAGACCCCGCCTGCCGCCGCGGCCGCCTCCGGAGCCGCCCTTTCCGCCTCCTGCTCCCCAGGGACCTCTGTGCGGCCGACCCTCCCTGAGCTCGCTTCTGCCTCCGAACGGCCGCTCGTGCTATGATACTCACCTTCTGGTCACAGAACCTGCCAATCAACTTTGGCCAGACCGAGGCTGCCATCTTCCCAGGAGAGCATCTCTGCGCTTCCGCCGTACGGCCTCTGTCACTGGCCAGGGCGGCTCGTTTCCGCCGTAAGCGTGCGCCGATTGGTGCGCCTAGAGACGTGATTGGCTTGTTCCCCGGGGCATAGAAACGTGACCCGGGTTTCTGGCTAGGACTCTAGCCCGGGGTAACTTGGTGGCGTCGGAGCTGGTCTTTGCCCCGGCTTTGAGACGGTCCGGATCACCGGCTCTGCCACGAGGAAGCCCTCCTTCTCCGCTTCCGTCCCGGGCTCTCCTGGAAGCCTCTGCAGCAGCCAGAGCCGTCTTCCCTAGTGCCAGGTGGAGGTCGCTGCCAGCTGGAACTCGGATCTCAGCCCACGGCTGCTCTCCTGGTTCTCTCGTTCCTGCACAGGACTCGGAAGTCACTCACATTTCCACAGGGAGTTCAGATTTACCAACCCTGCCAGTTACATCATCCCACCGAGTCTTCAGCTACTTTTACAGACCAGGAAACAGGCGAGGTTGAGAATCTCACCCCAGTCTCACTACACAATTGGTTAGCAGTGGAGCAAAACCAAATGATCTTATGCGAAAGCCTTCCCTGAGCACCGTGTCAAATGTAGAGTCCCCCTTTGTCTGGCTTTTTCTCTTGCTTTTGTTTTCTTCATAGCACTCGGGGCTACTTGAAGTCTTACGTTTATTTTGTTGTTCTCTCTGCTGCAGTGGAAAGTACTGTCCTCTTCACAGGAGCAGAGGCCTTTGTTTTGTGTATGTTCGGCACCTTTATAAAACAGTGCCTGCTATTTGGGATGAACCAATAAAAGAGTGACTAGGGTGAACTTTGGGCTGAGATCTGATTGAAGTTAGGAAGGGAGCCATGAGATATCTGCGGAAGAGAATCCCAGACAGAGGGAACAGCAGACGTGGACCAGAATGGTCAAGGAGCCAGTGAGACTGGAGCGGAGGTTCTAAGGGAGACAACAGTCAGAGATGAGAGGAGGTGGGGGGAGGACGCAGATCACCTAGTGCCTTAGAGCCCACAGCAGGACTGTGGATTTTATTCTGAGACTGATGGCAAACTATGGGAGAATTTTTTTTTTTTAAAGATTGGCCCCTGAGCTAACAACTGTTGCCAGTCTTTTGCTGCTTCTCCCCAAATCCCCCCAGTACATAGTTGTATATTTTAGTTGTGGGCCCTTCTAGTTGTGGCATGTGGGACACTGCCTCAGCTTGGCCTGACGAGCCGTGCCATGTCCACACCCGGGATCTGAACCGGTGAAACCCTGGGCTGCCGAAGCAGAGCACACAAACTTAACCACTCAGCCACGGGGCCGACCCCTGGGAGAATTTTTTAAAAGTTTTTTTTAACAGCTTTATTGAGATATCTTTGACAAAAATTGTTGATATTTAAGGCGTACAACTTGATGTTTTGATATATGTATACATTGTGAAAAGAACACCACAATCCATCACGTCTACATAACCCTTTTGTGTGTGTGTTGAGAATATGGGAGAGTTTTGAGCCAAGGGGCGACAAGATCTGACTTACATTCTTTTTTTTTTTTTTTTTTTTTTTTTTAAAGATTGGCACCTGGGCTAACAACTGTTGGCAATCTTTTTTTTTTTTTCTGCTTTATCTCCCCAACCCCCCCCCCATACATAGTTGTATATCTTAGTTGGAGGTCCTCCTATTTGTGGGGTGTGGGACACCGCCTCAACGTGGCCTGATGAGCGGTGCCATGTCCGCGCCCAGGATCTGAACCCTGGGCCGCCACAGCGGAGCGTGCGAACTTAACCACTCGGCCACAGAGCCGGCCCCCTGACTTACATTCTTAAAATATTATTCTGTATAGTAAATGTCTGTTGAGGTTAATGAATGAGTGAAAAGAAATCCCCAAGATGGGCATCAAAACCATAGAAATGGAGATGTGATCCCTTCCTCAGTCAAGAAACATTTATTTGGATAAGAAAGAGTTCCTCGGGTCAGGGGCTTGGAGGCTGGCCTGGGTCTCAGGCCTGGGACCCAGCAGCCTGAACAGGCTAGGAGGGGCACCTCTTGCTGATGTTGGTGAGGATCTGGTCCTGGTTGGGCCGGTAGAGAACCACGAAGCTCTCTGGAGGAAGGACGGGACCTCTGTTCTCCTCCACCTGGCCCATCAGCAGATAACTGGCTCCTGGGGGAGGGGCGGGGGATGAAGAGCTTACGTTATTGAGACCTTGTAGATGTACATCCTCGTCTGGGCCCCTCAGATTCGACCACCTCTATCATTTGCAGGAGTCTATGGTTCCCTCCCCATTTCCCACATCTCTTACCTTTCTTCATGGGGGGGCACTGTTTGCAGGGCACGTAAAACTTCAGGGGGGTGTCAGTGGGTGGAGAGGGCAGGTCCAGGCCTCCGGTTTTATAAGCACCAATGAGACTGACAGTGACAGTGAGGCCCTCCCCTGGGCCCCGAACCATGGACTTCACTGTTGCTGTTACCACTGTGTGAGAGTAGGGGTGAGAGGTGAGGAGACAAGGCAGGGCAGGGCTGGAACCAGAGGGAGGGGGGACTTTGGGGACAGGAGGGGAGGTTAGAGGAGGTGGAAGAGCAGAGCTGGGGGAATGGGCCCCTTACCCAGGTTGCTGGCACAGAAATTGCTCTGCAAGGTGCCTGTCCGCCGGCACTGCTTCGGGCAGGGGACACCTAGTGCATCTAGAAGGGGAGCGCTGTTTGAGGAGGGTGACCTACCCAGCAGGTAGGAAGGACCACTTTCCCTATCAGTCTCATTGATTTGAACTTGTTCAGAGCTCTGTCCAGCTCAGTAGCAGCCGTTAGCACAGAGGAGACACCAGTGAGTGTTGTACGAATGAATGAATGAGCCCAGGAAGGCCTTTTTGGAAACGCCTGCCTTCAGTCTGCGTCCCCCTCCTCCTCCCCAGACTCACCGGGACCCACTAGTGTTGCCTTGGCCTCAGGCGAGGCCTTCGGTTTCTCCGCAGGTGGGAGTTTGGGCTTCACTTTGGGGCCGGCTCCAGGCTTGGGGCCGGGGCCGAGGAGCGGAGGACCGGGCCGGGCGTCCTCCCCCGGACTCTGGGCCGGCCCTTCTTTGGCGGCGCCCCTCGGCAGGGTCCTATACGAGGCCGAGAAGCCGTCGGCTGTGACGCTGAGGTCCGAGACGAACTGGACGAGGAGCTCATTCCCTTCGGAGGAGATGGGACTGCGGGCGGCGGGCATTGGGGAAGGCGTCAGGCGGGCCGTGCACCCCGCCCTACCCAGGCCCGCGGCCCTTGAACCCCTGACCTCGCTCGGCTGCATTAGCTTCCCGACTTCATAGGCCCCCCTCGCCTCTGGATCCGCGGACCCCAGGCCTGGCGCCGAGCCTGGTCTTCCCCTGGCCCCCTACCTGCTCCGCCCACTCGTTTGGGGCTCCCGGGTTCAGATGCCACCTCTTCAGCTAAGCCCTGCCCCTCTCCACAGCAGCGCAGTCCCCCCACTCCCGCAGCTGGGGAGATGGAGACACCCGCACCACGCCGCCCACCTAGGTCCCGCCCCCTCACCCCGGGGCTGTGTCGCCGCAGAACTTCCCCAGCCTCTTGGCGTCGTCGCTCACGGCCCCGTTGAACACGCTGACCGAGTCGTAGCGGCAGTAGGTGTCGCTCTCCAGGTCAAACTTCCCGAAGGTCAGCGAGATCACCTGGCGGCGGCGGGGGAGGCGGAGGCTGCGCGGCGGGACCCCGGGAGCCCGAAGGCACGGGGACTCTGCGCCTCCCCCCTCCTCCGCCCGCCGCCGCCTGTGGGACGCTTGCAGCAGCCTCCTCTCTCCCGCGTCCCCTCGAGCCCCCCTCTTAATGCATCCCCACTACAGCTTGGAGGATCGCACACACCCACGGGAACCCTGCAGAGGCGTCCGTCGCCTTGGTCGGCAAGATCAAGTCCTGGCTCATTCTCAAGGGACAGACCCAGAAACCTCCTCCCCCCAACACACAGTTTATAGAGCTTGGTGTACCTCGCTCGCGTGAGACTCGTCACAGGTGTAATTTTACATTTTTTGTTTGCGTGCAAGCAGGTCTGGGTGTGTTTTTGCTCCCCACCAGCGCAAGCGCAGTGCTCGGGACATAGTAGATGATCAATAAATCTTTGCTGGCTGCATGCTGGAGGGCGCCGCTCGGGGCCCCAGGGCAGCCCGGGCAAGGGTTGGTACCTGGTCCGGGGGCGCGATGATGTGCCAGGAACAGCTGATGCCCGGGGGGTAATCGGACTCGGGCCAGTTGGGCGTGGTCAGGGTTCCCTGGGCCTTCTCCAGCCGCCCCCCGCAAAACTGGTGCTCTGGGGAGGGGAGAGAGGAGCGGGGGTGGGGAGAGGAGAGCTCTAGCCTGGGAGCCTGTGCAGGAAGCTCGGATGCCTGGGTCTCAGGATGCGGGGACGAGAAGAGGGGGAGGAAAGAAGGGTAGGTTAGCGGAACGGGGGCTTGGAGGAGCGGGGCTCAGGGACTGCCGGGCGCCAAGGCGGGCGGTGGAAGGGGGGAGGAGGAATTGGCTGGACAAGCTCCCTTCTTGCCCCTCCCTCTGACCCGCGGCCACATCGCTCCTCTTCCCCTGGGAGATCCCATCTCCCCGGCCTGGCAGAAAAGCCTCCTTTGCAGGCTGGAGAGTCCCCACGCTGTGAGGGTGCCCTCAAACTGGGGCACAGCTCCCGAGGCGCCTTTGGGGAGGTCCTTGCCTTAAACATTTTAGGGGAGACTTCTGCCGCCAGGAGGGGGTGATGGGACCGCAATCGGGAGCCCCGGGCTGGGTGTAGGGGGCTCCGGGTTGGGGGAACCTAGTCCCCCAGCCCGGGGGTGCCCCCTCGCGCCCGTTTGCGGGAGCCCGATTGCGGATGGGGGCGGGCAGTTACTCACCGTCCCAGTAACCCCAGGCCGCCCATTCCACCCGCGGGTCGGTGACCCATTTCCGCCTCGCGCCTGGGGGGGGGCCTGGAAGAGGGGGTGGGTGGGAGCGGGAGGGAGGAGAGAAGACGGGGAGGAGGGACTGAAGGGGCAGTTAGTGAGGAAAAAAGGTAAGGGAGGTAATGGGGCCCTAGGCTCTGGGGTGGAGGTTAAGGCTGGGGGCGGGGCCTGCGCCGGGGGCGGGGCCAGGAGAGGGGGAAGGCCGAGGTGAGGGAGGTCTCACCAGTGCCCGAGGTGGCCCGCCCGCTGTACCAGAGCAGGAAGCCGCGTCCTCCCGTGCCCTCGTCCGCCGTCATCCTCAGGGTCACCTGGTTGCCGGGGGCGACTAAGGGCGCCGGTCGGAAGGTCCCGCAGAAGCGACCGAGCCGCTGGCCCGAGGTTCCCGACCCGGCAAAGACCTCCAGAGCATCGTAACGGCAGGCAGGGTGCAGCTCCAGGTCAAAGACACGGAAGGAGAGGGATACAGTCTGGCCCTCAGGGACCTGATGGCGGGGACAGGGGCAGGGGACCCGCAAAGTCAGGCCACACACAACTCAGGCAGAGGGCACCTCCCTTTCCCAAACTTTTTCTGCAGAAACTGGGCCTGAACAGGAACAGAGCCCATCAGGGTGCAGAGCAGAGGGGCTGGGCTCTGTGGCCAGCTTGTGGCTTGTGCAAGGGGACAAGGCCTGAGGTCTGTGGAGAGATTAGAGGGCGCCGGAATCAAGTTGGGAGGGGAGAAGCAGGATTTGAGATAAGGTGTGAGGACACTCGCCACTTGTTATTGTGGGCACAGATGCCATCAGTGACCAGAGGGGAGGGCCTGGGACTTCCCTCAGGTTGAGAAGGTGGTGCTGGGGCCGGGGTCCCTTAGTAGTCAGGCCTTTGGCTGCCTGGACCCAGGCCCCGGAGACTTTGACAGGGTAGTGACCAGAGGGGCCTTCTCACCGTTATTGTCCAGATGCACTCCTTATTGGGGGGGTAGAGGTTGGGGAAACCCTCACTTGCCACGTAACCTGACTCCCCAGTCACATCCCCTCCGCACAGGAACACGGGTCTGGAGAACAGAAGAGGGGTCAGCCATGGGGTGGGGGGCGGGTAGTAGGGAGCTTGGGATAGGGTAATACGGATGGGGAGGCCAGGGAGGGAAGCCAGGGAGATGAGGGAGAAAGGCCTAAGGGATCTGGGGTGGCCTCAGCCAGCCAGGTTGGGGCTGGGGTGGGAAACACTCCAGCAGAGGATCGGGAAAAAGTGGGGCCAGCAACTTGGCTGTACCTCCAACCCCCCAGAGTCCCCACCCCCACCCCAACAGGAATTCCCGGAATCCTCTTCGGCCCCCCTTCCTCACTCTCCCCCCTCGCACTGCCTGGCAGTCTGGGACAGGAGCCGCCTAACTGCTTCCAGATGTGGACACAGCCACGAGGCTGTGGGGGGGAGGGGGTGGAGAGATGAGGGAGAAGCGGCAGCGATGGCCCTCAAATTGAACCTGGAGACCAGGCCCCCTGAGCTCCCAACCTTTGCCCTGCTCCTGTTCCAGTTAACTACTTGAGTATCTGAGTCCCAGGTCTCCCACTCGCTGCCCCCTCTTCCCCTCACAACCACTCTATAATTCCCTCCTGGAATCCAGATGTCTAGCTACCAGGCAAGTTCAAGGTCTTGGCGCTCTCAGGTTCCATGGGGGGGCCAAGAGTCTGGGTGGATGGGGAGGCTTAGGGGGCAAAGGATGGAGGGTGGAGGAATGGGGAGCAGTGGTGACCTGCAGGAGACAGTGGTCTTGCAGCAGGGAGGGAGGACTTGGGGGCCAGAGAAGGGTGGGGGCTATGGGAGATCTGGGGGGTCGTGTGTTAGCAAAAGACTCCACAAGAACCACAGGCATAACCCCCTACGAACCAGGGCTTTTGAAGCTCACTCGGGCTATCTGGAAGGTGCCAAGAGACCTACCTGGTGTAGTTGGGGGTCTGGCCCTGGGCGAAAGGCAGCAGGGCCCAGGCAGTGAGGAGGGGCCCCAAGAGGGAGGCTGTGGCAGCAGGCAGCATGGCTTGGGGGGAGAGGCGCTGGGGTCCTTGAGACAGAGGCAGCAGCTGAGTTTAGCAGCCTCGGCAGGAGCAGCAGGATAATCAGTGCCAGATGAGGCAGCCTCTGGTGTGTGGGCGTGGGGACTGGCCGGTGGGGCGGGCGGCGGGGAAGGCGGGACAGGGAGAGTAGAGCTGGGACAGTGGTGAGGCCAGGGGCCTCTCTAGGTCCAGGACACATAAATATTGACCTAAGTAGGGGGTGGAGCAATGGAGGGCAGAGTGAGCATCAGGCCCTCACTCATACTCCAGGCAGCAAGTAATGTCATCTGGAAGCCGGCTCTGTCCGGTGCCCAAGCATCCTGTGAACACAGCCTCTGGTCCTTCCTGAGGACTCTCTGGTCTCCCACAGTCCTCCCCAGTCCCTGCTTCCTCAGGACCCAGAGGAAGTCCTTCCCTGGACTCCCAACCTCTAATCACTCCACTCACCCTCTTCCTGACCACTCCCTGCTCCAGTTTATTTTCCACTTTGAATTTCTACCGTCTTCTCTCCTTTCCCAGACCGGACCAGGCCAAGGAGAAAGAATTCTGCTCACCTATTTTCCCTCCCAAATATGTTGAGGAATGGGAGCAGGGTAGGGAGGCATAGTATGTGGTTAGAGGGAGTGTCTCCCTTATTGAGGAAGAGGATGGAATAGAAAGTACAGAAAAGGGATAACATGTGAGACCAGACCTGGAAGGTAAACAGGGGAAGCCAGCGGGGGGTGGGGGGGGGGTGGGTATGTGTGTGGGGGGGTGGGGTTGACTTCACAGGGCTGAAGGGAAATGGGTAGGAATCTTTCTGAAATCAGAAAGAAGTGGCTTCCTCAGGATGGGAATAAGTCTGGTAGACAGAGGATCTAAGTGGGGGAACCAAGCAACACATGTTGACTGAGTTGTTCCAGAAGGCGGGCCTAGGACTTCCAAGTCTGGAAGGCTGGGTTGGGTCTTGGGAGCGGCAGGGGAAAGGGAGCTGAAGGATTCAGGTGCTGTCAGCTCTGTAGCAACTGCGAGCCTGAGCCACTTCTGCCCTGCCTGCCCCACCCCTGCCCTCCCATGCCCTCAGAGCCAGGCCTCAGGTTCCCCATCCCCTGCCCCACTTTCCTCCTAGGCCCCAGGGTTCCAAACTGGGCCTCATTTCAGCCTTTTATTCTATTTGTCCATCAAATCTCTTGTCCATGATAGTCAGGTTGGGGGCCCCTCCTGGGCAGCCCTCTGAACATTTTACAAAACAGTCCTCACCCCGCTATGTCCTCCTCCCCATGCACACACACAGTGTGTGCCCCTGGCCCAGAGCCAGACTCTCCCTCTAGGGGGGAGAGTAGGAGAGAGGGGTCAGCTATCAGGGGTTGGGGGGCCTTCGCCAACCCCTCCAGCAGCCGTCTGCAGCATATCCAGGGCCTCCCAGAAGAAATCCTTCTGTGCAGCCATCAAGGGCATCCAGCCCACGATCTCCTTCATCTTTTCCATGCGGTCCTGCAACGTGGGGCAACTATGGATCTGGCTGAGGTACTCCTCACAGGCCTGGGCTGTCCCACCAGGGTCCTGGGGTGCTCCGGCCCCTGGGCTGGGCTCGGGGTTCCCCACCACCCTGCTGGCCGGTAGGTCCCGATAGGCGGGATGGTGCTCGATGTCATGGCTGGACAGCATGTAGAGGCACTCTCTGGTAGAGCAGAGGGAGCAGGCACACAAAGGGACCTTGGAAGAGAGAAGGGGCGTGGCTGAGTGGGGCCTTTACCAAGGGGTTCCCCGGAAGCCCCAGCTGTTGTGTTCCTCTCTCTCAGACCAGCCCTGAGCCAGCAAGTGAGCTGAGCCCTAGGGTTGTGTGAGGTCAAAGAGGGCCAGCAGGGTCTGCTGAGGGAGACAGCCAGGAGCCATGGTGCGCAGCAGGAAAGGAGGGTGGGTGGTGGTGGGGAAGTGGAGGCCCTGGGTCCCTGCAGGAGCCCCAGCTACAGTCCTGTGGGCTACCTAGTGCCATTGCTCCTGCCCTCCCTGGTTGCCTGCTCGCCTGACCCTGCTCTGACCTTGACATGAAGCTTGACGAAGGAGGCACTCCCCTTCGGCCAGCCGGGGAGGCGGCCTCCAGCCCCACAGCCACAGCCCAGCAGCTCCTTGCTGAAGTCCAAGCCCTGGCTCAGCACCAGGGAGTGGTTGAGGCCACACCACAGGGCAATGGGGCGTTGCAGATAATGTACCTGAGGACACAGGGCCAGGGTCCCTAAGCGGGGAACACCAAGCGACTGGGGGCCTAGGTTGGAGAAGGGTGACAGGAAGGCTCATGGCACACTCTAGGGAAACCAAGAGAAATGGGACCCAGCATCCTCTCCCCCTCCCCCAGGAGATCTGCCCTGATGAATGGGGAGGGCAGCAAATCTCCCTCCTCACTTCTCCTGCAACCCCACGGTCTGACCACATGGGGTCTAGCGCTTCCGCTGGTTCTTCATCTTTGTTCCCCAGAAAACAAGGGCCTGAGGCCAGGGCCTGCTGTCTACTCCCTCATTCTCACCCGACAGGCCTGTGCCAGTCCAGCCTCTCGTCCTGCCTTCCAGCCTCAGCGGGAAGAATACAGCCTTCCTATTCCCAGGGCTTAAAGAGTCTCTCCCTCCCTGTGCAAGGCCAACTTAGCCCCAGGAAGGACTTTCCTTCCACTTATTCCTTCTTTCCGTCTCCAGCATTTTCAATTTGTCATATCATTATCTTTCAAAATAGCCACCCTATTTCAAAAAAATATTTCTGCCTGATTCCTCCTGCTTCCTATCTCTGTGTTTTAGGCAGAACTGGTTACGTGACCAGTCTGAGGGTTACTGCTTTCTTGTTCTCACCACAGCCAGTCTTTCCTGAACCTTCTGTGATCTGGCTTCTCTCCCTACGGTGCTACTGACTTGTTCTCTCCAAAAGCACTTGACCTCCCGGCTGCAAAATCTCAGGGCCGCTCCTGCGTGCTTTCTCCTGAGACTGTATGCGCTTTAATTTAGAAGACATAGATAAGTAACTTATGCTCATTACAGAAAAATTATAAAATATTGGCAAGCAAAGTTAATTTAAAAATCACTGGAAATCCCACCACCCGCTATTAACATCTTGCTGGATATGCTTCTTCACTGCTGCCTATACCAACATATACATGTAAGTTGTGTATTTTTAAACAAAAATGGGATCATATGATGTAAACCATTCATGAACTTTTTTTCACCTAAAAATACGGCATGACCATCTTTTCATGTCAGTAAGTGTCTTCCTCCATTATCGCTCTGTCACATTCATCACCCCTTCCAGTTTGAAACTTTCTGTGCCGTGGCTTCTGGGATGTGGCATTTGAGGGTGTGCCTCCCCACAACTTTTCATTCTCTCTGCCTACAATGACGGCTACCGCCCAGGGTTCCTCCTCTATCTCTACTTTTGTTGTTTCAGCTTTGTTCGAACTTGGAATCCAATTGCCAGCAAGACGTTCCCACTTCAGTGTTTTACTCTCACTGCAAAAAAGTCCAAATTCACCCTCTTCCTCTTTCCCCAAACCAGCATCCCTTTCCAGCTCACATGTTTGTTGTGATACCATCTGTTTTCAAGGGACCTAGAAAGGCCAGAGCCACCTTTGTCCTTCACCCCTCCTCACATCTAATCAGTTTCCAGGGCCTGTTCATTTCCTTTCAAAACATCGCTGGTAGCCATTCCTTTCCATTCTGGCTGCCATTGTACAGCCCCAGGCGCTTGTCTCAAGTGCTGCCATCACTCAACAGCCTCGCAGCAGGCTTCTCACCCACAGCCTCCTGGGCACTATGGCCAAGTGACCTGTCCTCAGTCACCCATGGGGGTTGCCTTCTCCTGCTCCAGAACCTGCAATGACTCTTCCCCATATCTGTACCTCTCCAGGCTCGCACCACCTATGCCACCTCATATCTACCAATTTCCAAACACCCTCTCTGCTTTAGTCTGGCCCATCTTTTCACTGTCCCAGGTACGTGCAAGCTTTGTCCCCATCCGCAACACACAGAATGCCTTTCCTATACCCATTGGAATCCTATCTAACCCACTAGGCCCTGCTCACATCTCACCTCTTCTAGTCACTCCAGCCCACCCGGGTGTCCCGCTTCCTTCAATTCCTAGTGCACTGACAGCATGCACTGCACAGGACAGACCTCAGAGTGCCAGCCCGAGTAGGACATGTGGCAGTGTGACCAGCAGTACACACTGGCTGCCTTAATCTCCCTAGGGAGCAAGAAGTGGAGTCTAAGGAAAGTGGAGAAAGGGAGAGATCTGGGGCTTTGAGAATTGGAGGAAGGGGGTCAGGATGAGAGTTGCTGGGAAACAGTCTCACCTGTGTGGGTTCCCCTCGGTCCATTTTGTCCCCTGTTCCCAGCTGCCCATATCTGTTATTTCCCTGCATAAAGATTCGGCCAAATTCATCCACCAGGCCAAGGTGATTATAGCCAAGAGCACAGAAAAGGATCTAGGAGGTGAGACAGAAAGGGGAGCTGGGCATTCAGTTCCCTCCAGAGGAATTCTGAGCTCCAGAATCTGCCCACCGCTAACTTGCCACCACCAGCTCATCTCTTTTGGCCTTGCCCTCTACATCACCCCTCACTTTGGGTCTCCTGTCCCTCCCTGATCAATGATTCCTGCTCACACTTCAGACCCTCAGTGCCTTTCAGTCCCTAAAGCCCCGCCCCCTCTGACCTGCCCCATCCCTCCAGGATCCTACCTTGGCAGGCAGTGAGAGAGCAAGCGGCATCTGCTGGTCCAGGGGGTCAAAGGCTTGAAGGGTCCCAAAGAGATCACGATACACCCCTGGGGTGTGCACCTCAAAATACACTCCCCCCTGGTCTGGGGGGTCGGGAGCCCTCAGCTCAGCAGCTTTAGGCACCCATTTCATAGGGATAAGGCCCCTCCCCGGATGAAAGCTGCAAGATCTAGGGAGTTTCACACCCACTGGAAATGCATCGGCTATGATGTCTGGGAACCTAAACACATCTTTTCACTAGGATGCCCTAAGGGTCCACCACAGAGCTGGAATAAGGATGGAGGGTATTCATATTTGGAAAGTCTGTTCAAGGCTGGGGTCTGGAGAAGAAGGGAGGTGGTTCTTACCTGTGATGTAGACAGTACTGCTCTGGTTGGAAGCCATGCAGGCCACACGCAGGTGAGGCAGGCAATGGGACACCTTCCTCAGGGCCAGCTGAACTGTGTAGGAGCGTGGCTGGTCCAGCTGGGTTTCATTCACTACCAAAGAGTAGATCTTTCCTTCCTCTGGGGGATCGGGGGAGACAGACAACTATGTAGGAGAGCGGACCCTCCAGTGTCCACATTAATTTCCCAATACTCTCTCTAAGCCATACAGGATCAAACATTTACTACCCCAGAGTTGGGCTGGAAGAAAAAGAGTGGAGATGAACTAAGGAAAGAGTGACCTCAAGTTCCCCAGACTCCAGCCCCTCACCACCAAAAATAAATCGAGGAAGTCCTTCTCGTGAGAGATGAGTAGAGAAAACCTAGAAGGTAGATTGGCAGAATCTAATTTGAATTTTGGGAATGATGTCTAGGGATTCAGGGCCAGAAGGTCCCGAAGGTCTCAGGTTTGGGAGTGTGGTCAAATATAGCGGACACTGAGAAAGTAGGGTGGCAGTTTGGGGTATAAAGTGAAGTGCCTGGCATGGAGGTTGGAGAGATTAGAATTTAAAAAACCAGGCATTCACTAGAACAGTGGTTCCCAAACTATTTTTTGCAGGAGGGCCCTTTATTCACATGAAATATGCAGAATCGTAGACTAGGAGACAGACGAAAGCAGAGCTGTTTGAGACCAGATGAGGTGGCACGCAGAACCCTGTGTGAGACCTCCCTCCCCCTCCCTGCAGGTCCCCAAGAATCTGCAGGAAACTTTTGCAAACCACAGCTCAAGGCCACACCTGTGAGGAGCAGCAGAGCCCGCTGGGTCTCCTGACCAACCAGCACAATCTGTTTGAAGCTCATGGAGTGGTGGAAGGTCATCTTGAAGACCCGCTGCCCACTGGACTGCAGATAGACCTCGACACAGTCGCAGGCCCGGCTGCCGGTCGTGCCTGCCACTCCCAGCTGCTCCCGAGTGGCCAATACATAGAGGTATTTACGGTAAACTGTGTCACATCTTGGGTCCGAGGCAAACTGTAGGAAAAGATGAAGGTGTCTGGGATCGACGGCCTTGGAGTGGGATGAGGCTGGGGCAAGTGGATCCTGTGGGAGGTGAGCTCCTTGGGTGCAGGGCTGGGAAGTGAGGACTTGTTTTCCAGTTCCTGGTTTGGGAGGACACCTCCAGACTGGCTTCCCGGAGGAGGGGTGGCTTCTGAGCTGCCAGGGTTCTGCTACTCACATCCTTGGCTCCGCGACACAACACAACATAGCGGCAGGCGCGCTTCCACTGGATCTGGCCAAGGGTGGAGGAGACCAGGGCATTTTTGAAGAAGAAGAGGGTTCCCACGTAGTCGAGAATGAAGACGTGGTCCTTGGTGGGCAAGAAGCGGCGGTAGCCGTGGGCTAGCAAGGGGGCTACACTCTTGCTGAGGCAGCGGCGGCGGCCCCCAAATGCCTGGAAATACAGGCCCTTTGTGTCTGGAGAAGGGAAGGAGATGGAAGGGTCAAGGGGCTGGGATGACAGGAGAGGGATGAACCAGAGCTTGGGCAAACTAGATTTCTCAGATACTCTGGTATCCAGGTCCTCCCCATTCCCAGGACTGGGGAACAGAGCCATTCCATAGGACATATGGAAAGCTTAGAAGATATCCTCAATTATACCCCATATCTGAACTTCAGTTCTCTGCCCCACCTCAGCTCAGGGCCAAAAACATGCTTCTAAGGGAGCCCTTCTTTGGTCCAACCTTGCATCAGAGACATCAAGGGAAATACAAGAATACACAGAAAAGCAGAAGAGGAATGAAAGGAATGCCTGAGAAAGGCCAGCAGCCCTCCCTCCCCTCCACGAGCTGGATCTGCTATCTGGATCTCCCTAATCTCTGGTGTGTGAGATGAAGTAATAGGGGCTCCCTGGGGAGGGAGGGGGTTTCAAGTATGTTTCTCAACCTAGGGGTGATTTTTATCCCTCAGGGGACATTGGTTGTCACAATTCGGGGAAATGCTACTGGCATCTAGTGGGTGGAGGCCAGGAATGCTGCTAAATATCTCTAATGCACAGGACAGCTCCCCACTTCAAAGAATTATTTGGTCCAAGATGTCAACAGTGACAAGGTTGAGAAACGCTGGATAAGAGCAGGGAAAATTCTAGGTTTGGGGAGTGGGGGATGTCTCCAGGGCAAGATTTGGAAGAGAGTTTGACTATGGAGGGAGACTTGGCAGGGATGCTAATAATGGGGGCACTGGGTGGGACATCTATCAGAAGGTAGCTCTAGAGACCTGAAATAGTCAATGGCATATGTTTGAATCTAGCAAGTCCCTTCCAGAGAAAGGGGCCCTGGAAGGATGTCTGGGAATGCTGAGGTCCTCAGGCAGCTTTATGGAGTGGCAGGGATCCCAGAATAAGGCAGGACAGAGGCAAAGGGAACTGGAGGTTCTGGGGAAGGTGTACAGTTAAGGATGGCAGCTCTCTTCCACGGCCGGACCCCGGAACCCTGTTCTCGGAGGCGAGGACTGAGCCTGCGACAGATGCGTCTCCACACGCCCTCAGTGTCGCACACTTCTCGGAAGTAGTGGCAGGTCTGGCCAAGGGCGACTACATCTCTGACTGGGAGGAACGAGATGATATGCTCCACCTGGGGGACAGGGGGGAGGAAGTGGGGGTTACTGAGGGGGCTCCTCAGTGGTCTGGCTGCCAGTCCTCTCTTCTTAGTCCCTCCCCTCCAAGGGACTCACCAGCTCTGGGGGAAACAACTGAACTGAAATAGGGTTCCCTCTCCCCTTCTTCTCTTCACCCCCAGGCTCTGGGCCACATGAAGGGCAGCTCCGCTTCACCTACTCAAGAGGGGGAACACAGGGGTTCCATGAGGGTCATGCCTCTTTGTCTCTCTTCTCTCAGCTTGTCTTTCAGTAACTACTGTCTTGGGGGCTCACAGCTCTGACTTCCAGCCCTGCGCTGTCAAATCCTCCCATCTTTCTCTCTAGGTCCATAAGTCACCCCTCCCTGTCTGCCTTATTCCTTGGTCCAAATTCTCCAAATAACCCCTCCCCCATCTCTTGCTGCCATCTTCCTGCCCTTCCCTTGCCTTGCCCCCTCCCTCCCCCCCTCACCCTGAGCCCCTCCTGTCCGCACAGCCCGGTAAATTTTTGCAGCTTCCGTCTCTGGCTTCTCCTCACCATCCTGACCACTCCCGCCCTGCTCCTGCCCTCATCTCTCCGGGCCCCTTGGCCCCCGGTACTCAGCTCCCTGGTCCCCGTCCCTGCTGCCTTTCCCACACCATGTCCTGTGCCTGAGCTTGGGGGACCTCTGGGGCCCCTCTGCCTCCCAGGCCCCTCCCCCATGGAGCCTGGGGCGGACAAACCTCTCTGTGACCTCACTGCCCAGCCACTGTGACCTATTTTCCCCAACCTTGCCCGGGATTTTCTCTTAGACAAATCCTCAGCTCTAGCCACCCAATGGCTCATGGGCTATGCATTTTAGAGGAGAAATAAACTGTGCACTACTGGTAGATGAGGCCTTTACTTTTAGGGAGTAAGGAGGTTTTTCCACTTGAGGCCCTTTTAGCACTAACTTTCTAGAGAAACACAGGTGAAATCTTCATATCTCAGGGCCTCCAAACTCCAAAAAAAAAAAAAAAAAGTATAAACTCAGTTTGACAGGTGAAGGGGAGAGGGGAGCCTGCCAATGACCATCTAGCTCACGAAAGCATGCACCAGATGGAAGGGGGAACAATCCCACACAGACTCTTTACAGCCTCATGAAAAACACATCCAGAAGCAGACGGCTTTCCTGGGACAGTCACATCATGGCATGTAGGAAGGGCAACCTATTAAGGTGGGAGGAAGGGATGGATGTACTTTGAAAGCTTCGCGTATCTCCCAGAATCTAAGCTAGGAACTTAGTCTCATGAGGGGAGGGGAGTGACATTTAAGAGGAGTTACAGCAGGAGTTGGGCTTATGTGTCTGTCCAGGTAGGAGCAGAAGATCTACACCAATAAATCCCAGGATGGCTGACTCTTCCACGGGCTCAAAGGAATCCAGCCCTGGGCAACCAGCCCTGAGCTGTGCAGTGTCACAGGATTGTTCTTTTACTGTGCTGACAGGCTGTCAACCATCCAGTCAAACTCCCTTATGCGTGGTGACTAGTAAACAGCTGGTTTGGGATACCTAGGAGGGAATTTTAGTAATTCAATAAACGCTTAGGAATATCAACCTCAGAGATGTGACTTATGAGAAAGGCCCTTCCGTTATTGGTGGTTAGGCAACTGTTAACATATAAGTGGCCTAAAAGGATATTACGATCTCTCAGCAGGTGGAAAAAGTATCGTCAGCTTCCTCTAGCATCTGGGTTCCCTTCATCCACGCCATCTCACCTCGGGAGGCAAAGTGGGTGCAAAGGGAACAAGTCCACTGTAAAAGCTGATACAGTGGGGAGCTGGCTTCCAGGGCAAGCTGTAACTGGCTGTCTGCTCCTGCCAACTCATCAACTGCCCTCTGCCTCAGTTTCCTCATTTGTAAAACACAGAACTTCTTCAAGATGAGTGGTCCCTTCTAGACTAAATCTCCCCAGGTCTTGCCATCCCGATGCCCGCCTAGGTGCGCTCCTCTGGGTAGGCGGGCAGGCCAGCCTTCCGCGAGCCTCCCTCCAGGAGCTGAGCTGGGCCCCTCCAGTCCCTGGGAAGCCCCCATCCACCCACCGGCCCGGAACCAGAGACCGTCGCAGGGCCTCAGCCTCCGCAGCCAGAATGGCCTCCACGGTCCCTTCGGCCGCAACGAGCCCCTGCTCACTGGCCTCCGGCGTCGCCTTGCACCTCCCGCTCTCCCTCACGCCCTCAGAACTGCCTCGCTCCCTAACACTGCCAGCTCGCACACACGACTCGGGGGCCCCCGGTCCTCCCAGACTGCCCGGCACACTGCGCTCACATTCTTTACCTCAAAGTTCTAGCTCACCCGCCTCCTCCTTAGCGAAGGGACGGCCTTCTCGCCCATGCTATTGGTAGGTAGAGCCGTCCCTTAGAGAAGAGGCCGGGCCAGGTTCCCTCTGGAGGATCTAATTGGTCTTCTTGACAGTCACTCGCCTGTATCTGGCTTGCGATTGGCTTTCGTTGGAAAAGCACCATGCGGTCTCCCGGTCTCAATCCCTTCTAGTTGAACGCCGGCGTCCCCGCCTCCGGGTTGGGCCTGATTGGCTGATCTCCAGCCTTCAGCATTGTGATTGGATGCGGCTGCACGGGGCGGGGGGCCGGGAGCGTCGGCCGTTGGCGAGCGCTCTGTTCTGGTCCCCCTCCCTTCGCTCACCTCACTCCTGCGCTGGAGTCTCCACCCCCTCGGCGGGTTCTGATTAGCCCCTTCCGAGGCGTCCCGGGACCGCCATTGGTCCGCGGGGTCCCTGAGCCCGCTCCCTCCCCCTTGAAGCGACTACGGCGGCTCCAAGGCGGGGGAGGGGGCAGGAGGACGGCCGGTCCCGTCAGTCAGGCAGCGGGAGCCGCCGGGAGCGGATGGCGGCGGCGGTAGCGGCCCCACTCGCCGCCGGGGGTGAGGAGGCGGCGGCCACGACCTCCGTCCCAGGGGCTCCGGGTCTGCCCGGGAGCCGCAGTGCAGAGCGGGCCCTCGAGGAGGCCGTGGCCACCGGGACCCTGAACCTGTCTAACCGACGCTTGAAGCACTTCCCCCGGGGCGCGGCCCGCAGCTACGACCTGTCAGACATCACCCAGGCTGGTGAGTGCGCCCGGCCCCCAGCCCGGCCGGGACCCTCATTTGCATGGCTCCGCCCCCTCGCTTATTTCTCTCCGGGCCCGGGAGCGTGGCCCGCCCCTTCACCTGGCCGTCGGGTGCTCGACCCTGCGATTTGCACCAGCCTGCGACCCCTCCCCGCCACCTCCGCTTTAAGAACTGCTAGACGATGAACAAATTTCTCGTTTGCACCGAATGCCCAGTGTCCCCGGCCGACGTCGTGAGAGCCTGCGGCCCTCCGCTTGTCTTTATTTGCATATCTGCGCACCTGTAGCATGGCCCCGCCCCTCACCTGGTTGGCTTATTTGCATGACCTCTTCAACCTCAGTTCTGATCATTCCATAAAGCAGCCCCCACCAGCCCCTCTAAGGACTCCTTTCGTCTCCTCCACTTCGTCTTCAACTCTTGCCCCAGTTCCACCGAGAACCGAGTGGCCCCAGGCCCCCGCTTCGCGTGGATTCGCCCATAACAACCTGATGTTTCTGCTTACTTTGCTTATAGTCCCGCCCCCTAAGGTCGTTGGCCCTCTCCGCTCTTCCCCCTGCCAGCCTATGGGAAAGAAGCACATCTCCCACCTCCCCTAACTCGTTTCTTCCCGAGCTCTTCCGCCTATTATCCCTGACCCCCTTTATCTGCGACTCCTCCTCCTTCCTGCGTGTGTGAGGTCACTATGGAGCCTGTGACCTCATAGGGACCCTAGAATTCCCATTTCAGTCTCTGCTTTCCCTAGGGGAGGGACTGGAGGCAGTTGCTGAAAGGAAGGAAATCTTATCTCCTAGATAGGAGTGCTGGGAAGCTAGAGACGGTCCCACTGTCCTTCCACTCCCCCACCCGCAGCATCCCGCTAATCATGCCCGCTCCACCCTGGTGTCTGTTGATGGTGGGTGTGGGGGGCTCGCTGTGACAGGTGAGTCGGGCCTCAGCTGCTCAGGAGGCAGCCTATGACCTTGGGCTGGCAGCTGGGGGCTGGGGATTGGGAGACGGGAGGAGGACTGCATTCCCGAAGCCCCACCCCAGCCTAGCCCAGGGTGGAACCTGGGGCTGGAGGAGAGTGCCCTCCTGCTGACGCTGCCCTGGGACTCCCCTAGCATTTCTCCCCTAGCAGGTGTCTGCCCACCTGCAAACACTCCAGTGGACACACTCTCTTTCCTCTACTGTCGTGGGGAGAGCCAGTTTAAACCTCTCCACTTTTCTTGGGCGGCTAGGTAAACTAACTTGCCCACTATGCGGAGTGAGTTCAGGGAATGGGTTAGCCCCCGCCGCCATGCCTGTCCCTCTCGGTCTCCCCTAGCCGCCTAACCCCCAAGCTCCAGATTGACCTCAGCAGCTGTGTGACACTCGCCGTCTGTTCCCTTTCCCCTCCCCCTTGCTTGTTTTTTGACAAAGACCAAATGTTATTCTTTACTTCCTTAGGGCTCTGTCTCTGTGAGTGGACTCCGGGGGGAAAACTACCAAGAACTCCCCGGCCCCTCCCAGCTCCTACCCCCTCCCCGCTCCTCCCCCAGCATTCCGGGCTCAGGGTGCAGCCAGTCCTGTTAGTGAGCTCCTGTCGTGAAGGGAGAAAATCCCAGCTTCCTGAGAACCCGTCTCTGCCCTGCTCTCCGCGCAGGAATCCTCAGTCCTTTCAGGGCCCAGGTTGTCGGCCAGGTGGGGTCTCTCTTGTCCAGACTCTCTTCTCCGTCCCCTCTCCCCAAGGGGTGCTTATGGCTTGGAGTGGAAAGGGGAAGTGACAAAAACACAGTCAGTATTGCCCATACCCTGCCCTCCGCACCTCTTTGCCCTTCAACCCAGGCTAAAAGCTTCAACGTTCTGCTGCCCAAATCATTTTGAACCCTCTCCTCCTGCTTTCCCAGCTCTTTCTGAACTGGTGTTTTGCTTCCATGCTTCTGTGGCGCCGGTCCCTGATGTCCCTTGGACTTGTTCCTGGGGCCCTGATAGTAGGATGAATCCTGAGATGGGGGAGGGGCTGCTCGCACAAAAGAGAAGTGCAGCTTATTCTCTCACAGACCACATCCTGTGCCTCCTGTGCCCTGCCTCCTCCAGCCCGGGCTCTTCCGCTCCTGGCTTTTGCTCCACTTACCCCCATCATAACCTGTTCTCCACCTCCTTCATCCACATGCGTGTGCGCACGCACACACATTTGTGGACACAGGGAAAGCAGGCAGGTGGAGGGTGAGGGTGGGAGGACTGCATCTGGTCCTCCCACCCTCTCCGGAACTTTCTTCTCCCATGACAGGTCTTCTAGCTGTGTGCACCAGGGTTGGGAGCAGAGAGGGAGAGGGAGCTATCCCTGGGGCCGCAGGCTCTCATCCGCCCTGGTAAACACAGCGCCCACCAGAGACAGAACTGACAGATTGTCTCTACTTCGTTTCCTGTCACAAGACTTGTTTCCTTGGGGGATATACCCCAGCTTCCCCTCCCCTCAGCTTTTGCTCACCCCTCCCTGGGGAAGGCCCTCTAAGAAGCTCACCCAAGTTCTGTTGCCGGGGTTTCCCCCAGCAGCCCCTGGGCCCCTCCCAGTACAGGCTGAGCAGAGGAAACAGAAACTCTGCTTGGAGAGGACTAGGCAGTGAGTGCCTCCACGCTGGTGGGAGCCCCAGTGCCCGACTCCTTGCAGTGGAATTGGCCTGCCACTGCTTGAGATAAGGGGGCGGTCATAGATTCTCCTCTCCTCTCCACTCTTACCCATGCCCCAGACTCAGGCAGAGGAGCTGATCTCCTGAAGGCTGGGTCGGTAAGAGGAAGTGGAGGAGGGCTGGTGAGGCTGGAAGAGGGTGGGAAGGAGGCCAGCCCTGAGGAAGGTGTGCCCGGATGGGAGGGACCTGAGGACTCTGACTCCCACCTCCAGCTTGGTCCCTCCTCTCCTGGTCCTTGGGCGTCTGTAACTTCATAGTCCCTTGGACCTGGCTTACTGATCCCAGGGGCTGGTGAAAAACCATTGTCCAGATCAGGAGCCTTACATAATTTCTAGAGCCAGGCTATAGTGACCCTTGGTTTCTCCCTGGGTTGAAAACAGGTTGCGGTTGGGAGACAGGGCCCTCAGGAGGGATGCACACTCTCAGTGGCTTCCCCCAGAGGCTGTCGGTATAGTCACCGTGAGCCTCCCTGCCCACCACTTTGCTAGTTTCTTTGGAGCAGCAACCCTCTCCTACAACTTTCGCCTTCCACCTCTCCTGGCATCGCAAAACAGCAGGAGCCACAAGAGTTAAAGAATCCACGCTTCTAGGATAGCTCCTCATTTGTGTGTTCCCACATGGTGTTCATGGCTTGCCCCCGGCCCGGTCTGGGCTTCTCTGGCTCAGCGTCTCCTCTGCCTTCCCTCTACCCTTCTGGTCATCCTTGGAATGTGCTCCAATTTGCCTAAGGCTTTCTTCTCACTCTGAGGAGCCCAGGTTTATAGGTCTGATTCCTCAGGTCAGCTGGGGAGAGAGGGCTGTCCAGCTGGCTCTGGGGGAGGTCAAGGTCCTCCTGTCCAGGGCTGGGCCTTTGCAAGCTCTCCCCCAACACTTGCTTCCCCTAGACCTGTCCCGGAACCGGTTCCCCGAGGTGCCGGAGGCGGCGTGCCAACTGGTGTCCCTGGAGGGCCTGAGCCTCTACCACAATTGCTTGAGATGTCTGAACCCAGCCTTGGGGAATCTCACAGCTCTCACCTACCTCAACCTCAGGTAGGGAGGCAGGCCCAGGGCGGGGTGTGGGGGCGGGGGGCTTGTCCTCAGCCCCAAGTACCAGGGCACAGTTCCCTGAGCGACCCTCCTGGTGACCCTGAAAGGAGGGTGACACTGGGACGCCGTGCCTGGAGAGTGAGCCCACTACCTTTCTCCCTTCCACAGCCGAAACCAGCTGTCATCGCTGCCCCCTTACATCTGCCAGCTGCCCCTGCGGGTGCTCATTGTCAGCAACAACAAACTGGGAGCCCTGCCTCCCGACATCAGCGCCTTGGGAAGCCTGCGACAGCTTGTGAGGATGGGGAGTGGGGCGAGAGGAGGGGTTGCTGACCCAGGCACCAGGGACCTTTTTGGGGGAAGTCAGGGAAAGGCAGCATGCGCCTGAGGGGCAGGCCGGGACTAAAGGGGGTGGCCAGAGACAGGAGGTGGTTTCTGATGCTCCTGGTCTTGTGGCTCCTTTCCTACCTCCTTCCTCCTTCCAGGATGTGAGCAGCAATGAGTTGCAGTCCCTCCCCGCCGAGCTGTGTAGCCTCCCTTCCCTGCGGGATCTCAATGTTCGGAGGAACCAGCTCAGCACCCTGCCTGATGGTGAGGAAAAGGAAGAATTGGTGGCGTGTGTGTGTCTACCTTGGAGAAGTCACAGACAAGGAATCTTCACAGAAAAATCATGCCTTAGTTGCCTTAGGTTTTGCAGCATATAAAACAAACTGTAAATTGCTTTATTTGCTCCTGCCCAGCAGCCCTCTGGGGCTGGTAAGACATGGATTATTAGCTCTATTTTACAAATGTGGAAAAAGGCACAGAGAGGGGGAGTGGAGTGCATCGGCACCCTGTAGAATCTCACGGTCACCCTGTGTCACCACTCACCCTGGCAGGAGCTCTCAGACCCCTGAGTCACATGACGCCCTGCATGACCTCCCCAGAAACTCTGAATCAGTAGGACCACGTGCGGGAGCCCAAGCAGCCCCATTTTAACGAGCTAATTAATTGTGATGCACCCCAACATTTGATCGCCTCTGCTCCAAAGCATGTATACCTTCCTTTATGCAGCCAGCATTGTTGTATGTGTTTCCTGTGTTTTAGGTGGGGACCAGGTAGATGGGAGTGATGTCACTCAGATCTGGGGCCAACTCAAGATTTCATGCCTGAATGGGGAAAGACAAGCAGAGGGAAGTGCTAGAACAGGATCCTTAAAGAGCTGCGGGAGCTAGAGGGAGGTGCCCAGCTCTGCTTGGGGAAGTTAAGGAAGCCTTTACCCCACGGGCACAGCAGGAGCTGCCCTTTGAAGGGGAATCCTGCATCCTTCTGCATCCCAGGCAGAGGAAACCCCATGTGCGAAGCATGGAGGTGGGAGGGAGCATGGTTCAGCACGAATGCGGTTAGAAAGGCAAGCCAGGGCTAGGCAGGAAGGACCTGTGCCGTGCCAACCTTGATTTTGAGGAACAAGAGAGGGGAGTCAGGTGGTCCTCTGTGTTCTCTGGCCTCCCCCCTACTCCTACGCCGGCGCTGTTGCCTTCTGAATCAGTAGGGGTACAAATAAGCATTCGATCAGGGTTCTCTCTGGGCCATATAAGAGACCCCAGCAAAATGCCCCGGGGACACAGAGGAAGGAGCAATGAATTCCAACCTCGTGTCTAGAAAGATTTCATGGAGGAGGTGACACTTGAGCTGTACCTTGAAAGATGCATGGAGAGAAAAATGGCATTCTCCCAGCTGAGCAAACAGCATGTGGAAAGGCCTAGAAGCCCAGGAGCTGGAGGGTTGTCTGATGTGGTCGGAGGGCAGGCAGTGAGATGGGAAACATGGGCGGAGCCTGATCATGAAGACCTTGACGGTGCTTGACCAGGGAGTGGTGATTTTTGGTGTGCATCTTGGGCCACCGCTAATCGGTCTGTGCTTCTGAGAAGTACACAAAGGCACCTTTCCTGTGGGTGGCCTGAGCCTCGCCCAGGGGTCAGGGCTTGGCTAGTGAAGTGCACGGGCTTGCCATCCCCTCCTGCCTGGGTGCTTTTGGGCACAGCCCACTCACCCTTAGCAGCCCCGGCGCAGGTCATGGAAGGTTTCTGAGCAACGCAGTGTCACAGTTTGGTTTGGGTCTTGTGGTGGCCAAACCACTTGAGAATGGAGAGGCCAGGGTGGAAAAAAGGAGGGAAGCAATGAGATGGACAGGAGCTGAAGTCGGATAGGCCTGATGGGGGAGTGAGCCTGAGGGTGGGCCAGATTGGAGCGGGAAGAGGAGCAGGGAGGTTGTTCCTGGGGAGTGCCTTCAGCCAGCTGGGACAAAGGCTGTGGTGGACCCAGGGGTGACCGGCTGGCCAGAGCAGAGGGCAGAGGAAGTGAGCACAAGGCCCCAGCTTTGGGCCTGCTCCTGACTCTTCCCTCACCCACCCCCAGAGCTGGGGGACCTTCCTCTTGTCCGCCTGGATTTCTCCTGTAACCGTGTCTCCCGCATCCCGGTCTCCTTCTGCCGCCTCAGGCACCTGCAGGTCATTCTGCTGGACAGCAACCCCCTGCAGAGCCCGCCTGCTCAGGTGAGGGGTGGACCGTGGGGACAGGGCTGAGAATGGGCAGGAGTTGGGGCGTGGGTCCCTTTGGTAGCCAAGCAGGATCTGGGGAGTCCCCCCCCCGCCTTCCCCTAACTCCCCGCCATGTGCCTTCTCACACCTAGATCTGCCTGAAGGGGAAACTTCACATCTTCAAGTATTTGTCAACAGAGGCTGGGCGGCGCGGGGGCTCTGCACTGGGGGACCTGGCCCCTTCCCGTCCCCCAAGTTTCAGTCCCTGGTAAGTCCCAAGTGGGAAGGAAGGAAGGAAGCCTTTGGATATTTGACACCCCTTCCTGGCACCAGGGACCCTATGGTTTCTGGAGGGAGAATGAGGGGATTGCTGTCCAGAATAGGACTGACCAGCTCTCCCTGGTTGGCCCCAGCCCAGCTGAGGACTTATTTCCGGGACGTCGGTATGATGGCGGGCTGGACTCAGGCTTCCACAGCGTTGATAGTGGCAGCAAGAGGTGGTCTGGAAATGAGGTAAGGGCCTCCTTTCCAAGGGACATTGGGGGTCTCAGCCCCAGGGGAGAACCTGTGAGCCGGGACGCTTTGCCTGGGACCTCTAAATCTCAGAGTGACAGGTGGTGGCTGGAGCTGTCCTCTTCCTTTTCTCACCCAAGTATCTCGGGGAAGGGCTGGCTCAGCAGGAGACCCTGAGGTCCTGAACCCCACAAGCCCCTGGTACTACAGAGAGGCTGTCTCCCATCTCTGCATTTCTGCATTTACAGTCCACGGATGAATTTTCCGAGTTGTCGTTCCGGATCTCGGAGCTGGCCCGGGAGCCTCGGGGGCCCCGGGAGCGGAGGGAGGATGGCTCTGGTGAGTACTGGGGACAGGGCCTGGGAGCTGGGGAGAAGGCCCTCCAGCTGCTTGCTGACGTGCCCTGGCCTCCTCAGCTGACGGAGACCCTGAGCAGATTGACTTCATTGACAGCCACGTCCCTGGGGAGGACGAAGAGCGAGGTGCTGCTGCTGAGGTGAGGGGCCAGCCCGTGTCTGTCTGTCTGTCTGCCATGAGGGAATAGGCACTCCTTCAGCCCCTCTGCTGTTCTTTCTTCAGGAGCAGCGGCCACCAGAATTAAGCCCCGTGGCAGGGGACGGGGAGAGGGCGCTAAGCAGCAGGTACCCCAGAGCCACCCGAGCCGGCCCCTCCTCCCTTTACTCCATCCCCTGCCCGGCTCTGCCTCTCATCCTGCCTTTGCCCTGCAGGCAGGAGGAGCCCGCAGGGGAGGAGCGGCGGCGCCCAGACACCTTACAGTTGTGGCAGGAGCGGGAGCGGCGGCAGCAGCAGCAGCAGCAGCAACAGCAGAGTGGCGTGTGGGGGGCCCCCAAGAAGGACAGGTGTGGGCATGAGGGCTGCTGCTGGGCGGTGGGCCCTGGATGAGTGGTAATGAGCCTCTTGGGGTCGGCAGGGTCCCCTGCCGGGCCCCGCTGACCCCACCTCTCCTTCACTTTCTAGTTTTCTGAAGCTGGGGCTCAGGGCTGCTGGCGGAGGTGCTGCCGCCTCGTCTACTCAGGCCACCTACAAGTAAGTGTCCTCGCAGACTCCGCCTCCCTGAGCCCTCTCCCCGCACACCCTTCTCCTGACCATCCTCTCATTCCCTGTCGTCTTTCCTCAGCGGCACGCCTAAGTCCAGTGCCCCCCAACTGGGAGCTTCAGGGGGTCAGGGAGCCCCCGCCCCCACCTCCCAGGAGCCTGTTCCTGTGGCCAGACCAGGTGGGACAGGGGCTTTGGGAAGAGGATGGGGGCCTGTGCAGGTGAAGGGGTGGTTGGGACCCGGTGGCCCGAGGGAAGAGTGGGACACTGAGGGGATGTCTCTGCTCTGGCCCCCAGCGACACCACCTGCTCCCCGGCCGCTCGGCTCCATTCAGAGACCAAACAGCTTCCTCTTCCGTTCTTCCTCTCAGAGTGGCTCAGGTGGGTCTCCCCTTGTCGCCAGGACTAACCCAGTGCTGACCCAGCACTAACCCTTGGGCTGCAGTCACCGCTTCTGGCCTGCGAGTTCTCTGGTCAATTGCTCCTTTGTGTTGAAAATCCCACAAGCACAGAGGCAGGAGATGTGTGTGCCAGACACTGCGACCCAGCTACCGAGTCGAGGGTGGGTCACGAGACAGCCCACATACCCTCCTTTCTCTCCAGGCCCTTCCTCACCAGACTCTGTCTTGAGACCCCGGCGATCCCCCCAGCTTCTGGATGAGAAGGAGCTGATGGCCCAGCTGCGCCAGGTCAGAGGCTGGAGCTGTGTGAGCGGGCTTGGGCTCAGCATGGCGCCTCCTCCAGTTTCCTGGTCTCCCCCAACACCCTCTTTGCCCACCCTGGTGCTTCTGCTGAGGACAGAAGGGGCTTCTGGGAGTTCCCTGCTGACCCTGACCTCTCCCTACTTCTTCCCCTGCCTCCCAGGTCCTAGAGTCACGGCTGCAGCGGCCCCTGCCTGAGGACCTGGCAGAGGCTCTGGCCAATGGCGTCATCCTCTGCCAGCTGGCCAACCAGCTGCGGCCCCGCTCCGTGCCCTTCATTCACGTGCCCTCGCCTGCTGTGGTCAGTTGGGGCCCAGGGCGGGCAGTAGGGGATGGGACAGGGGACTCTTGTGGCCTCTCCTTTACTCTCTTCTCTTTTTCCTTTCTTACCCACCCCCAGCCAAAACTCAGTGCCCTCAAGTCTCGGAAGAATGTGGAGAGCTTCTTAGAAGCCTGTCGAAAAATGGGGGTGCCTGAGGTATGAGGGGGTGTCCTCAGGAGCCCGGGGCTGGTCTCGCCTGTAAAGAGTGGTGGCATCCTGGGCTCGGCTGAGTACTCTGCATGGCTGGCAGGGTTCCGCTCAAGGGGCGTCTGCTCCCCAGAAGGAAGCATGTCCGTAGGCCCCCATCCTGCACGTCTCCCCTGCATGCCTCCCTTCCCTGCACTCTGCATGTTGGCGTGGCGCTGCCCCTGGCACCTGAGGGTAGGGGGTGGGGAAGATTGTCTTGCTGCTGACGTCTGTCCTTTGTCCTTGTCCATTTGTCCTACCCTCCTTTCCCAGGCTGACCTGTGCTCGCCCTCGGATCTCCTCCAGGGCACCGCCCAGGGGCTGTGGACCACCCTGGAGGCCGTGAAGTGGGTGGGGGGCAGGGCCCCCCCGCCCCTCTGGCCCCCCTCTGGTCTGGGTGGCTTCGTCCTCTTCTACGTGGTCCTCATGCTGCTGCTCTATGTCGTCTACACTCGCCTCCTGGGTTCCTAGGACCCGAAGTTGCCCCTCCCCCACCTCCTTGCCCTTTTTCTATTTATAAGACTCCTGTGCAACCCCCATCCCCACCGGTGGTGCCTTCAGCCCCTACCAAAGACACTAGTGAACCCCCTCTCCTCCCCAATACTGACCTCACAGGCCCCACTCTGGTGCCCCCAACCTCTGGCCCCCTCTTCTAGCCCCTCCCCTCTTGGTGCTGATGGTGCCTTCAAGCCCTCTTGCGGCTCTGCCCGGCCCTCTGCTCCCCCCAGGGATGCATCTTAACCTTCCTCTTGAGCCCTCCCTCCAGCCAACCCCTACCCCCCAGCTATGGGGGGCTAAATTATCTATATTTTGTAGAGAGAACTCTATATTTGTAGAGGATGCCGGGGCCCAGGTGGGGCCCTGTCTCTTGTATAAATTGTACAGATTGTGGCCGCCTCTGTGTGTGTGTGTTTGCGTCCGTCCCGCTATGGCCAGGCGCAGCCCTGGCCATGTCAGGGCTCTGTGTGCTAGCCTGCCTACTCCAGCGTTGCCCTCTGGAAACGACAGGTCTCTCCTTCCCCCTGAGCCTTGGCCTCTTGTGTCATCTCTCTTCTGTTATCTGCTGGCAGCTTCCTTGCATCTCATTTGTCCCCAAGCCATGTCCAGGGAGCCCCTGACCTCCGCCTCCTACACTTTGAGGGGCCATCCTGCCAGCCCCTTTGCCCAGGCTCCTTTAGGGTGTCTCCCACCCTGCCCTCTGCGAAGGGCAGGGAAGCTCAGAGGAGAAGGTGACAAGCGGAACTTAACCTGGGCCCCTCCCCCCAGGAGTCCCTGTGCCAGCCCCACCACATCCTGGAAGAGGAGGGGGCCCCAGGAAGGGGTCTCCCCTACATCGCTGCTGTCGTCCACGCACTGCTGGAACGGCCTTAGGGGTTGAGGTCGGGGCTCAGGGCACCCACCCGGCCGGGACCCCAGGAACAGCGAAGACAGACGCGCCTGGGCTCTGCTCTCTAGTGAGGACTGGTGAGGGCGGCCTCGGGCCTGGCCCCCTCCCTCAGGCACCCCCTCGGCCCGAGGGCTTGGGAGCAGGCCGGCCCAGCAAGGCGCCTGGCCGCCCCTGGGTGGCCGAGGGTCTGGGATGGAAGCCGGGGTGCTGGATGATGTGTCAAGTGCAATAAAGAGAAGCTGGAAGCCCTCTAGGTCGCCCCTCAGGTGTGTGTGTGTCTGCGAAGGAAAGCGAGGCGCCGAGGGGAAGAGGGTGCCTCCACCGCCATGTTGAGGGCCCGCAGTTCCCGCCGCTTGGCTGGGCGGGCGGGCGGGAGCCCCGCCACCCCCGCCGCCAGGGGGCGCCCGCGGGAGCGCGCGCCACGTGGCCCTTCCGGAAACGCGCTGGGCGCCGGCGTCCAGGCGAGGCCTGGAGAGGTGGGCCGAGGTTCGGGCCGCGCGGAGAGCCTAGGGCAGCGCCGGGCGTCGAGGGCGTGGGAGGCCGAGGCGGGGTGAGGCGGGCGCGGCGGGAGGCCTGGCGGGGGCGCGGGCGCGGGGCACAGAGGTGCGGCCCTGCCCTGCCCTCCCCCCAGACGCGACATGTTGCCCTGGCCCCCTCCGTGGGGGGGCGCGGGCGAGGAGCAGGCGCCCCAGGAAGAAGGCCCCTTGGCGGGCAGTGACCCCAGCGAGGCCTGGGACTCTGGAGACGAAGCCCTGGGGGAGCCAGGAACACCCCCACCGGACAGGTGAGGGCTCGGCCCGAGGCACCTGGGGGACATCCGACGGCGGACCACAGTGTGAGGTCTTCCCTCAGTTGTCCATAGGGAAGAATGGGTGTGACCAGCCTCCCCGCACAAGGCACCTTTGGCCCTTGTCCGTTTTCAGACTGGGAGGGGGAAAGGGGAGTGAGGGCAGCTGTGACGGGAACATCTCATACCTCCCCTTCCCAGCCCTCAGCCCCGGTCCCCAAGGCCTTCCTGGACTCGGAGAGAGCAGCTGCTGTCCCAGGCGCCCCCAGGCACGGCTGCTGAGCAGTGGCCCAGAACCCCGGGTAGGTACAGGGCCTTGCTGCCCTTCCCCCACAGGACCCTTTCATCGACCCCTGAGCCTGTCTTAATCTCTTCGAGTCCCCGCCCCCCAGTGCCGCTTTCCCCCCAGATGGCCTGGGAGGTGGCCCCCTCAAGGATGACCTTGCTAGCACCCTGGGACCTCAACTACGACTCTAAAGCAGGACCTTGGCTGGTGTGGGTGAGTTTAGGGGTGCCTAGGGCTCCGGCCTTGGGGTGGGGCAGGGGTGCCCTGGCAGGGGGCTGAAGCCCTAGTGATCTTTCCTGCCCCTCCACAGGGGCCCAGCTCTGCATCTGGCGTTGCCTTCTCAGGCCGGACCTTGTGTCATCCCTCATTCTGGCCACTGTATGAGGCAGCCTCAGGCAGGAACCCCAGGCCCCTGGCTCCTGCAACAGGACATCAGAATGGAGAGCATGCAGGTACTTCCCTTGGTCCCCTCAGACCTTGGAGTGATGCTGCATGCGCCCCGTAGGGAACAGCGCAGAGCTCGAGGGCGTGGGGACCCCTCGCCTGCCACCATAGCCGCTTCTTGTCCCCAGGGTTCCCGGTGATGTGCTGTGAAGACGTCTTTCTTTCCGACCCTCTGCTGCCGCGAGGGCAGCGTGTTCCCCTGTACCTGTCTGAGGCCTCTCAGCAGGTGAGCGCTCTTCCTGCTCTGGCCTCAGCCCAGCCTCCCTGCCGGCTCAGGTGGGGACACTTCCCCCTCCTCTCTCCTCTCTCCTCAGGTGCTGGGCTCTCTGAAGCTGCTGCTCCCACCCCCTATTATGTCCCCCTGGGTCCTCCCCACCTCATCCCCTGGCTGCTCCACCGCCTGGCTCAGTGGGCCTGAGCTGATCGCCCTCACTGGCCTCCTGCAGATGAGCCAGGGGGAGCCAAGACCCAGCTCCTCCATCTCAGGGGCTCCCACGCCCCCTGCTGGCCCCCCTGACCCTCTCTCTGACCACCCAGGCCTCAGTGGTGGCGGGAGCTGTTCTCACTGTGCTGATCCATCGCTCCCAGGGACCCCAGACAGTCATTGTCTATAGCTCCTCTGGGGGCAGAGTGGGCCCCCTGTTCCCCCAGGCAGATTCTTTGACAATAAAACAGTGCTGGTTTGCAAACAGGCTCCTTGTGGCGAGTAGCAGAGTGGGGCGCCGAGGCAGGGATGGGATCTCTTCCTCCACCACGGCTTTGGCTGCCCTCCCTCAAATTCTGGTTACTCATTGGCCACCCCCTACAGTGAGATCGGGGAATCTGTGGATCTAAGACCTTTCCAGATTGACCAAGCAGGAAACCTTTAATTGTGGGGTGGGGCCAGGGTGGGGGTCCAGAGTACAGTCCCCCAGACTAGTGGGATGCAGGTACTCCATGAGCTCTGCTGGGTCCCGGAGAAGGGAGGATGGTGTGAGCACGTGGCTGGCATTGGGAGAGGCAAACTAGGGAGTAAGGGGGTGGCACTTCACTTTTTGGGGGGCACTAGGGATAAGATACCTGGTGCTTTCATCCAACTTGTGCTGTGCCCCGGGAGTTAGGCTCTGGGGCTGGGTTAGTTCTTTGGCTGGGAGGAGACACAAGGCAGGCACTGCAGGTGTAGGGGGGAGGGGGATCCATGTGGGAGTCGTCACCAGAGGCAGGATTGGGGGCCAAGGCCAACCTGAGACTCTGGAGCAATGCTGCAGGAACCCTGTGGGGAAACAGAGAGGATCAGGGTTTTAGCTGAGAAAGCCTACAAGTTTGTAGAGTTTTTTTTCTTTTTGTAAAGGGGAGAGGTTCTAGAATTTTCTCCCTTAAGAGAATCCAACTTCTTGTGGAACCTCCTTCTGGAAGTTTCCCAGGCACCACAGCTAGAAGGGGCAGAGTGGGCAGCGGGACCTAAGGGGCAGCTCAGGGCCTCTACAGATCACACGTCCTAAGGGGCACCTGGGCCTTAGAGCCCCTCCGCCGTGGGCACAGGTGTGAGGGGTGGTTGAGGGGGGGCGAGCGGGAGGGCACTGGTAGCTGCCCGATTTTCTCTCCCCTCCTCCTCATCCATCCGTCAGCCCTGGCTAGACAGGGCGGGGCGCCAGGTTTCCTCACCCGCGCCTCGCCAAGGTTCTGGAACTCGATGCTCGCGTAGCTGTGCGGGCGGTGAGTGCTGGCCCCGGGGGTGTCGCCTCGCGCCCGCAGAGGAGGGACCAGGTCCAGGTCGATGTAGTTGAGGCGGCCGTCGGGCGGCTGCGGTACGGTAGTGCCCATTCCTACGTAGTCCGGGGCCACGTACTCGATGCACACGTACTCCCCGGCTAGCTCGGACGGCGCCTGCAAGCAGGGGTGAGCTCCCGCCGGTCCCCAGCTGTCCCCGACGCAGAGACGGGGGCCTCGGAGCCCGAGTCCAGGCTCCCCGGCCCCGGGCTTGTAGAAACCGGGCAGGGAGCTCGAGGAAAAGGACCCTGGTGCAAAGCGGCTCATGGGCACGTATTCAGTGCCCCCCGAGTCCTGGAGTGGCTGGCGAGGAGCGGTGCTGGCGGCTGCCGGAAGGCCCGGGGGCGCCATCACCATGTAACCGCCTGCATCGCCGCCCCCCATGGGCTCATAGTCACTCCTGGCTCCCATGGTTATGTAACCCCCGCCTTGCTCCAACCCCTGGGGGTACGAGGCTACTGCCCCCAGCGTCACCAGGGTCTTGAGGGTTGCTTGCTCGCTCCTCTCACCCAGGCAACCCGGACGGCTCAGACTGATTGATTGGGCCGCGGAGGCCGGGGTCTCATAAGGTTGGGGGACAGAGAACCCGGGGGCGCTTGTCGGGGGATCCCTTGGCAGTGGCTCAGCCCTACCACCGGTAACGCCGTCCCCGAGTCTCTTCATGGCGGCCAGAACGGTCTCGTGAATGCTTTGGGCCACCACACCATCGGGCGCCTGTAGCCACAGCTCCCCGGGACCCGTGGGCGCTGAGCGACCGAGCTCCAGGAAGAAGAAAGAGTCTGCGTGGCCGCAGCGGCGCACACTGAGCAAGGACAGGCGGAGGGCCGGCGGCGGCCATGCCTGGGTGTCCCCGGAGCCTCTACCCCTGGGCTTCCGCAGCAGGCTCAGTACCCCAGAACCCAGGCACAGGCGGTAGCCGCCACTGCCCAGGCCTCGTGTCCGCCCCAGCCCCTTGGGCCGCAGCGTCACGGGCCAGACGTCCTGAAACGGAGCGAGGATCCAGGTCCCGGGGGCCTCTTGGGAACTAGGACCTGGAGAGACAATGGGCTGGTCGGGGAGGTTGGAGTCACTGTGCCCCGAGAACTGAACACGTGGAAACTCTTCATGTTTGAACTTGATTTCGCAGACTTAGGGGGAGGGAGAGCCTACGGATAAACCGAATCCTTGATCACCCGCCTCCCCGCACCCCGCGCCATCCCCTCCTGCCCAGGGCTTGGGCCTCACCGGCGGCGGCGCGCGCCTGGAGCAGGGCGCTGTACCACGCCTGTTGCTCCGCCTCGCTGGCCGCCGCCACGCCCAGGCTGCGGTCGCGCGTGTAGAGGACGATCAGGTGGCGGTGGCGCGCGTCCACGCGCTTGCTGATGGTGCACGCGCCCGCCAGGCTCACGCTGAGCTTGGGCGGCGCTCGGCCGGCGCGGAACAACTTCTCGCTCTCGTAGCACTCGAGGCGCGGCGGGTCCGCGCGGAGCACGAAGAAGCGGCGGCGCTGGGACTTCTGCTTCCGCAGGTGGCCGCAGAGCCGCACGTCATCGGGCCAGGCCGAGGGCCGCGGCGGACCGGGGGGCGCGTCGGCGGACTCGGACTCCGGGGTCGCCGTGGGGCCACCGTCTCCGGGCTTCATCCCCGGCCAAAGGCAGTAAAGTGGTCGGAGGAGGGACGGAGACGGCTGGGAAAAGACCCGCAGACGTGGGGTGGAGGTGGTGCTCCCAGGGACGGGGGCGTCCAGACAAGTCTTGATGCCCAGCGTCTGTCCCCTGCTTCCGACTTGAAGTTTGGGGCAGGGGGCTTGCAGTGGCCCCTTGCTGCGCGCAGCGTGTGCCCCAGAGGCTGCCCGGTGGCCTGCGATACCCGGGGCTCCAACGGCCTCTAATACTCCGAGGCTCGACCCCAGCCGGCTCCGCGCGCCTCCCGTCGCCTCCTTTCCCCTCCCTCGCTCTGCCGAGCCGACTGCTCCGGAGTCCCCACCCCCGCGAGGTTAACCCTCGCGCGCCCCGGGCTCTGGACGCCGGGCCGTGGGAGTGGAGTTGGAGCTGGAAAGTCTAGGGGAGGCAGCCTCCGCCCCACCCCACCCCCTCGCACTGGGCTTTCGCAGGGGCGGGGAGTGTGGGGGCGTCTCCACTGGTCTGAGCTGACTGCCGAGAAAGCGACGATGTGAGGTGAATGTGAATGCAACTGTGTCCGAGGTGACCGCACTGGCGGCGTCCACAGTCCTGGCCATTAGTGGGAGGCTAAGCCGGGCCACCCTTCCAGCAGCAGCCCATTCCAGCTCCTGCCACTCTCCACTCGGGCTCTAGGCGTCCGGCACCTGGGTCGCCCCTTCCCACCTAGGAATGGTTCTGTACTCTTCCTTCCCAAGTAACCCTAAGAGCCGGGCTCCTCAAGCATAGGGCTGTGCGCTGTCAGACAAGCTGGAGGTTGTTTCTCTGTGGGTTTGGGGTGATAGGCCGTGTCTTGGGATAGGTTAACTTCTGGATTGGTCCCTGTGCACAGACCAGTCCCACCAGAATCCCAGTCAAGTGGCCGCTGAAGGAGATCCTGTGGAGGAAAAGACCATCTCTCAGGGCATGTCCCTCTTGCTGCCCCATTGCCCTCAGCCCCTCCTCACCACCACTGTCCAAAAATGCATGGGCCTGTGGAAGGCTCTCATCACAGAAGTGCAGACTCTCTGGCGGAGATACCCTTTGCCCCTTGCATTCTGAGTGGTTTGAGATGGGGCTGGGATTCAGACATTTTACACCCTACTTCTGATCCTTGCAAGGACCACCGACTCATGCTGGGGGTGATGGCGCTGGTCAGTGCACACCCTGCAAGACAAACCAGCAGTTGACACAAGGGTGGGGGCCTTAGAGGACCTTGTGATATCACTTTCATGGCAAGTAAGATATCTACAGGAGGGAGCTGAGGGTTGGGCGGTGAGGAGGGCAATCGTGGCCCCTATTAAAGATGGAGCACCTTTAGGGTAAGGAAGGAGATAGAACAAGAGCACCGAAGCAAGGGAAGCTGCCTCTCTTCTCAGACTGGTCCAAGGGCCAGGGCCACCTGAGCAGGCAGGGCAAGGCCTCCCACCTGTGCCCCTCCACTTCCCAGCCCTGGGAGGAAGGGGCTCCTCTGTGAGCTGGAATCCTGCAGAAGCCAGTTGTGCCATGTGCATGGAAACTAGGATCCTTGAACATCTTTACAAGGGTCATGTTGAGAGTGCAGGGAGCCAACTAGTGAGGATGGGCATCTGGCTAGCAGGCAGGCGGTGCCCAGAGCCCACTCCAGGTGCCTCCTGGTCAGCCAAAGTCCCCCCAACGTACAGGAGAGGTGCTGGGCTCAGGTGGTGCACTGGGGCCAGTGGCAGCCACCACCACTGGTGGGTGTTGGCCAGGGAGAGGCAGGTATGTGATGGATCAATAAGTGGCCACCAAAACAAGTGTGTTCAAGGCCATAGCCTCCAGTGTGGCCTTGACATATGCACCCTGTGCACAGTGGCAGGAACACAAAAGACCTTCCCAGCCTTGGCACTGCCTCAAGGAGTTGGGCACCCACAGGGAGCCTGCCGTGCTCCTGGCCTGGAGCCTTACTCCCCAGGCTTGATTTGAAGCTACCCACAGGAGGGTCTCTTACCTATTCCTTCCTGCTCCCCATCAACCAGGCCACTTTACAGCACCTCAGTCCTTGTAAAATCACAGCTGCTGTCACAGAGACCAGCTCCAAACTACCTTGTGTCATTGAGCCCCTAAGTGCTGGGCAAAGATAAAGCAGGAAGCGGCAGGCACCTGAGTGCCTGGGCTCTGGGCAGGCGACAGCGGTAGAGTGGGCTGGTAATCAGTGCCAGGCGATTTAGCCTGCTGGGTACCAGGAAAAGCCTGGAGCCAAACAACTGGCCTAATCAGTCGCCCTAGCAACGACACTACCCTTGGCCTTACCCAGACAAGATTTATTTTAGCCTGTTGCCCTGGTAACTGGAGTTGCTCCCCAGGGACAGGAAGTGGCAGAACCTCAGCTTGGCTGGGTGAGAACACCTCCCCCAACCTGAGGAGTCCACCTGTGCACCCCCCTGCCAGGTGCAGGGCAGCCATGGATGGGCTCTGCACATTCTAAGTCCCCATGGAAGAATCTTGTTACCAGGGAGAGGAACTTACCGGAGGAGCCTGGGGTGCTACGGCTGGGCTGTTCCCCGTGCCCTCCCTCCCCATCTGCAGGAACAGTGCCATCTCCTTCCTTCAGCAGCCCCTCCCCCGCCCCACCACCATGGTGCAGGCTCCAATGTGGAGGGAACAGAGCTTCCGAGGTCCTGGGGCCTGGCTCCTGCTTCTTCACCCACAGGGGCAGCAGGAGGTGACCTGCTGCAGGCTGGGGCCGAGCCAGAGACTGTTGTCTGCAGAGCATGGTCACAGTGTTGGCCAAGGGAATGGTAGGACTTGGTCAGAAGCCTAGTGGGAGCCTGGGTGAGTCCCTCCGCCCCCATGATGTGCTTGTGGTGGGGTTCAGATTTGTGACCACCAGGCAGGGCCGTGCAGGGCCCGGGCAGGAGGAAGACAGCCCAGTCATTTAGACATTTTCTGTCAGCCCAGGGATTTTTCCATTCTTCGCCTCTCGCCTGGAGAGAGGGGGCCCTTTGGAGGCGGCACTACGGCTGTTCCCTGCCAAGAGAGGCAGCTGCAGTCCTGGTCTCCGTCTGTGCCTAGGGAACTCTTGGTTTTGCTGCCCTGGGGTCGGAGGCTGACCCTGTGTAACTTCTCTGACTGGTTGGTCGTCCTGCCCTGGCCAGTGAGCTGGCTGGAGTCCACGTCGGACAGAGTGACTGGGAGGCGGAACTGCAGGGAGGTCCCGGGCCCAGGCACCAAGCAGTAAGGAGAGCCCTGGGTAACAGCAGGAGCGTGACTGAAACGCAGGAAGAGGCACTGCAGCCCCTGGGCCTCTAGTCTCACCTCCGCACCTCAGCATACGGGCTAGGAAAGGAGGTGTGGGAGGGCTGGGGAAAGGAAGACTGGGCTCCTCCTCCTCCCACACCACGACGGATCTCAGCTTCCCTCCCTCCTTGGCTCTAAGCAGAGAGAATGGGAAACAAAGAAAGGGAGGAGAGAGAGACAAGCAAGGGTGACAGAAAAATACTGGGAGAAGGGGACAGAACATGAAAAACCCGGGAGAAAAGGATGGTGGTCCACCCAGGAGATCCACCAGGACATGGGAGGAGGGCAGAGGCTGAGAGAACAGACACAAGACAGGAGGGGTACTGAGCCTTGGAAAGGTGGCGAGGCCATGCTTGGCTGGGCAAATAGCAGCAGCTGGAGGTATTTCCAGAAAAACCCTGGAACTAAATAAAGTGATAACACAGTCTTCACCTCTCCTTGCTGTTATGCAATTAAAGGTCACGGGGTAGAAAGACCCAGAGAAGTCTCAAGAATGAACAGCTGAAAGGCCAGAGTTCCTGGGCAACGGAGAAAAAGGGAGGAACCTCTCCTGACAGCAAGGCCGAGTCCTGGGCCTCTCCACCAGGCGAGGTGTTTAACCCAAGCTGTCTGTCTTGTCACCACACAAACAGCGCAGACACCACTGCTGTTGACACAACATGCTCAGGTGGAACGTCTGGGGAGGAGCTGAGAATGCACCCAACCCAGGAGAGGGGGAGCTGTAGTCCCATCTCCGCACTGACACCTCCTCCTTTGTCCGCCCCAGCCCCAGTGGCAATCGCCTGCCCCGCCCCCCCCCCCCCCCCCAACTACAGCCACCTGACTCCCTTGACGCGCCATCCCATTGCTGACAGGGTACTCAAGTTCAGAGAGGGACTGGCTCTGTCTGGCAACCAGTCCTGTCCTTGGCCAGGCAGCATCGTCACAGACCCAGGCAGTCATGCTGACTGACATGAGGCCCCTTGAGCTGACCCAAAGCAAGACCACGGGAGCCATTTTCTTTTTCTTTCAAATGCAGTTCTTTTCCAACATTGCCAGCAACAGCTTTGGTGCAGAGATTGGGGGCAGGGGAGGCACGTGGAAAAAAGAAAGAAAAAACAGCCAATTGCACAAAGCCTTTCCCTGGAAAAGCCCAGGCTCTGGGGTGGACAGGACATGTGACTGCCCTCCCCCCCACCCCCTGGAGCTCTGGCTTTGCTGGTGGAGGCACAGATGGGGATTCGTCCCATTCCCCATGTCAAAGAGCTGTCTGAGCGGGAGAACGGCTGCATGTGTGTATATCTCTCTATGTGTGTATATATATAATAGCCTATATTAGAAAATTCTCTCTCTATGTATAAATATAAAACACCGGTATCCAAACATGACACCACGGCTAACTAAAGTGCTTGACAGGAGCTGGGCACGTTTAAGTATGTCAGTAAAACTATTCATCCTGAATGCCCAGGATGAGGGAGGGAGCTGGGGAAGCACAGCCATGGAGGGCCTCCTTGCCGGGCAGGGGTGGGGAGAAAAGGGTATGCTGGCCCAAGCAGGGCCCCAAGGGCACTCTGGCTGCCCCCACCCCTCCCTGGGCCTTCACAGCAACACCACGCCTCATCTCCACCTCTCCCCTACTTCCCCACTGTGCTTCCCTCCATGAGAACAGTGCTGGAAAGCTGGGCATGGGGAAAGAGTTGTTCCCACAGGGAAAGCCCGTCAGTCTGTGCCCACAGCTTCCTCCGCGCCCAGGGCTGGGAGTGAAGGGAGCACTGTGTATGCTGAGGGCAGGAGAGGAGGAGGATGATTGTCATCATAATGAATAATTTGAGAAATGAAACACCATCACTCCTCGAGGCCAGGCCCTGCCTTCTCTCCTCCTGGGCCTCCTGCCTGGGCTCGGGCTGGAGGGAGGGAGGGAGGAAGCCTTGGGGGTAGCTGACCTGGGAAGCTGCCTTTTATCTGCAAGCCCCAAGCAAAGCATCAGGACCTCTACCATCCCTAGGATCCCTACCCTACAAAATAAGGCCCATTCTGGTCTCAGACGCACAGAAATGCCACAGGCAAGTGGTCACCAGAGCTCCAGGCAGTAGAGGGGCCCCAGAGAGCAGAGAAGGGCCCACCCCAGGACACAGTGCTACAAGAATGGGTTGGTGGTCGGAGGTTTGGAGGCAAATGGGCTTGATGAGGATCCAGTCTAGAAAGAAACAACAACCACCACAAATTGTTAGATTAGTGGAGAAAAGCTGGAGGCCACAGAAAAAATGTAGTTCAGGATTCCTTTCTCCCTCAAAATTACCATGCTGAGGACAGTGGGAAAGTGAGGGAGCTAAGAGGCCAGTGGAGGGGCGGGCAGTGTGGAGGTGACAGGGCCCAGAAGAGCTGAGGCCCATTGCCTAACGCCCTCCTCCCTGGCATAGACCAGGCAGATCTTCAGAGGAAGGGGCATGAGTTCCACCCCACATGGACCTCCTGTCCTGGAAGGATTCTGTCACCAACCCCTAGAGTGAAAGGCCATCCCCCACACACGCCCACACGAGGGCACTCACCATGAAGGGGTTGGTGGAGATGCCCGCTGGCTGGCTTAGTGGCCTCTGCCCCAGCTTGGCTGATCCTAAGTCGCTGAAGGAAGAGCCTGGGAAGCAGGAGCGGACACTCAGTTGCCATGAGCCTGTCCGTCATGCCGGTCCTGACCAGCTCACCCACCCCTCTGCAGGGCAGGCATATCTAGTTCCCGGGGGTGGGGAGGGGGCAGCAAGAGGGGCCTGCCTGCCTGCCTGACTGAGGTAATGGGTGTGGAGCTGAGTCAGAGGACACAGGCCACTGTTGCTTCCCTGCTCCCCCCTACTGGTCCAAAGGGGAACTAGCTCAGATGTCTGGCTCCCTAATATTCCTTCATAAACACACACACAGTCCCTGGGGGTGAGGTCTGAAGCCCTTACCATTCTGCTGCTGAGCCACCAATGTCTGTGTGGGGAAGATCGGTGGTGGGAAGGTGCCGGCAAAGGCTCCAGTGGGTGGCACTGTCTGGGGGAAGCCAGGCCCAGCACTGCTCATCCCGAAGCCAGGCCCTGTGGGGTGAGGAACATGAGGCTCAGGTGAAGCTCTAGAAGGGAGGCTGGAGTACACTTCTTCCTAAATCCTCCCCGTGGGGAAATGGGATATGGTTTTTCCCTAGCCGGCGGTACCCTGCAGAGGTACCCTGAATGAGCCATGGAACTCTTGAGCTTCCATGCAGCCTTCCAGGCTGCCTTCCTCCTGCCTGCAGCGGCTTGTGGCGTGGAGAGCACAGTAGTTACAAGCCAGGCATGGCTACCTACGAAACTGCAGAAACTAAAGAAAATGGTTAGCCCTCTCCGTGCCTCAGTTCTCTCCTCTCTAAAATGGGGACCGTACCTATCTCCCGGGGCTGCTGTGAAATTTAGGTAACGACGCAAAGTGCTCAGCAGTGGGCCTGCCACGTGGGTCAGCTTGGTAGCCATTATTATGCTCTCTTCCTGGCCTCCAGGTTTTTGAGAATGAAAAAAGGGAATGGGGGCATGAGTTTGAAGAGAGAAAAGCAGAGGCTGGGGAGGAGGGTAAGTAAGAGGAGACCACAGGACTCTGGCTGATGAGGGCAGGGAACAAGGGTCATGGTTTCAGGAGGGACACAGAAGGGCCCGAGGCTGGGCTCCCAGAGTGACACTGCTGAGGGCTGGAGAAGTGAGAATGGCTGACAGTACCAGTCACCAGGAAACCTCTGAACTGGCTCAGGTGAGCGTCAGTCTGTCTAATTCTGAAATCCTGACTCTGTGACCTGGGTGCTTCTACTTTTTGCCCACTAGGTGGCCTGGAAACTAAACTGGGTCTGGCCTGGGCTGATAAAGGGTGAGCAGGGGGACTCGTTTTGGGAGGACCACAACTGTCAGCTTAGGCTGCCTGCTGCTCCTCCTGACAGTATGGGGTTGGGGTGTTAAGAGAGAGGCGCGCGGGAGAATTGACGCCCTGGAGAAAGTCAGGGCCAGGGGACAGTCTGGGAGGCTTACCTGTGGCGATGCCATTGGGCTGGAATGGGTTGGTGGAAGGCAGCTGTGGGTGAGCAGCAGGAGCTGTGAAAGGGTTGGTGAAGGCTGCTCAACGTGGAATGGAGGGGGGAGAAAGAGACAGTTATTTTTTTTGTTCTCATTTGGTTAATATTGCGATAACTGAGCATCCCTCTAAATTTTGGTGTGCATCTCTCTCCACTCCCCTCCCTGTCCAGAGCCCCCACTTTCCTCTTGGCTTTGGATCCCCACCCTGGGTCTCCACAAGCAAGACTCACCTCCAAAGGCAAGTCCTGCACTGCCACCTCCACCAGTCGTAGCCGATGGGAGCGTGGGGACCTGGCCGGCCATCCCGAAGATGCTGCAATATGGGGAGAGAAGTCGGCATGCATATCATCCAGCACCAAGGAGACAAGCTGGGCAAAGGACAGGAGATGGCAAACCCTGTCCTGCCGGGCAGGAGGAGCTGAGGTTTCTTGGCTGGCTCTCCTGCTCCAAGACAAACTCCCTGACATACAGACCTACCTGCTAGGGACACCTCCAGCTGACGCCCCGGCTCCCAGGAGACTGCCCATATCTGTGAGGCTGTTGGGCTGACTGGCAGGCGCAAGAGGAGAGGCACCAAATGGAGTCCCCTGGCTGCTCCCTGGGCAATCACAGGAAGTAAAACACGGAGGGCTGGGGTGAGACAGGATGGAAGGGGCAGGAGAAGAGACAGAGGCGAGGATGTGGTGGAGAAGGAGTGGAGTGATGGCATGAGAGGCACCAACTGGCTTCTCTGAGCCAGTCCATTTTCCCAAGGATCACCCAGTTCAGAGGGCTTGTCTCCCACCCAGAATTCTAGGCCACGTGATACTCAGCCTTTCTCGATCTCCCTAGTGCTCAGGGCGCCACTGCTGAGAGAAAAGCCCTTCTTCCTTGTGTCGGATCGTTGGCCCTCCTGCTCTAGTTTGACTTACACGTCCCATTTTTCCCTCAAGAGATAGAAAAATCTGTCCTTTCCTCAAACCAGCATTTCCATTTATGGATAGGTCATATGAAGCGGCAGGTAGAGGGGGTGGAGGAGCAGCTGTGAAGGGCAGAAAGGCCCGAGGACCCTCGGGAGACTCCCATGGAGTGTGGAGATGGCACTGGGGGTGATGAGCATGAACGTCCAGCTATCAGCACTGTTCCTGCTCCCACCTGAGCCACCTCCTCTCAGGAGGCCAGCCTGAGGCTACGAGCTTAGAGCAGAGCCTGGGCACACTGCTCATGGGGCAGGGCCGACTGCAGGGTCCCCTACCCTCCCTGGTCTTCAGGTCTAAAAAGAAAAAGCACAGAGGGCAAGCCACACATGGGAGTTTTACATTACAAAACAGCCCGAGGAGCAAGTCCTAGAAATCCCAAGCAATCTCATGTCACGGGAAGAGGCCCGAGGCCCTGTCGTTTTAAGAAAGCCTCTTTATGTGCGTGTCTACATCTCATCTGTACGGTAGGATCCTGTCAACCACTCTGGGCTATTGTGAGGGTAAAATGAGGCTACAAGCAGTTGAAGGGTTTATTTTTGTGAGTGCTGGAAGACTCATTATCACCGAAGGGAAATGCGCTTTCCATGGCATCTGCCACAGGACAGTGCTCAAGAACTGTATGCGGCATGAACGCTGGAATAGGCAGAGTGAGAAGAACTGGATTCTTGTTGTGGCTTTACCACTTGCTACCCCTGTGACTTTAGCAAACCGTCTCATTCTCCTGAGCCCATTTTTTCCTGCCCTCTT